TTACGCACAGAACTTGTTTGTGATCACACTGCAGCTATGCCAGTGTTGTTCCTTTTCAACATGTGTAAGGAAGAGTAGTTCTGTGGTAATGGGAGAGGTGATGCACAAAGTCTGGTTGACTTGTCAACCTCTAGTCAGTCATTTTCTGCCATTCAAATACATCTAAGTGAGCAGTGCAGATGGCCAGCACAAATGAGTTCAGTGAGCTGTGCTAATAAATGTTTTTTGGAGACTGCAGTTGTGAGTGCTCTTTGTGCCTTTGGTTCTGAATGTGGTTGTGGGTTTTTTGTTATTGGCTGTATTTTCAATCCCTTAGAAAACAAAAGCTACACGTCCATAAGAACAGAAGCTTTGACTGTGATAGAACTGCTGCTCACCAAACTGCAAGGTGAGATGCTTTGCTCACCAGCTGGGAGTGCTGCTGTTTGGCAAAGAAGGCACCTGGCTGTGTGGCCTGGAACCCTGGACAGATGCTGCTACCTTCTGCTTACAGCACTGGGTGATTCTGGGGCAGTTGGGACTTGGGAATCCTGTGCTTGGTGACTTGGGAATCTTTGAGAGCTTTACGTAACTGTGGATAAAGCCAAAGTCTAAAGTACTCCAAGGATACTCCTTGGGTGAGGAAAATGTCCAACAGGGAGCATCCTGGAGAGCACACAGGGCAGTTTTTAGTCAGATTCTGCTATGTGCAAGCACCATAGAGGACAGAGCTCCTGTTTGTGCAAAAGCAGAATTTTTACCCTCTCGGCACCAAGTTTAGTTCCTCATTGTTATTTAGGATTTAAGTCTTGCAGAATTTACTTCAGAGAATGAATCTACTTAGGTCTCAAGGTCATGTGTGTCTGCAGCTGTTCTGTTCAATGTTTCCTTTGGATTTCTGTTACACACTTTGTGTTTCCTTTATTCTAGCAGAATTCTTACATTACGTAAAGGAATTATTAATTGGGAAACATTTGGTTCTTCAGGTCCTTGTTTTTGCATTTTACAGGATTAGACAATCCAGCCTAGTCTAACCGGGCATGACTCCCTGTGCTGGAGGCAGCATGTGCACTGGAGTTGAATTTGGAAGTGCTGAAGCAGTCAGTCACTCTTTCAGCCTGTCTGGGGATGGAGGTTACCTTTTGATTTTTTTGGCATTCTGGTATTCATGTCCAGTGTCTGTCTTTATCTACACAGAAACTCAACAGTGGGAAAGCCTGACACCAGAAAGCACGGAGCACCTCATTCGTTCATTGTCTACGATGGCATCAGATAGCAGACCCGAGCTGCAAGAGAAGGCATTTATATTGAAGAAAACACTTGAAAGTCTTGACTAAGCTGTAAAACACAAACTACAAAGTGCCATGTAAAACAAAAACAAAAGAGTGCAGTGGTCTGAAAACCAAGTGGGGAAAATGAAGTTTATTCTGTAGCATGCATCATTCCTGGCCAAAATAAAAAATGCCTTAAATTCTTTTCCCCGTTAGTGTTATTTTTACTCTCTAAGCTGATGATTAGTTGTTTATCAGTAAATACCTCTAATGATCTGCCCTAGAATGTTTTTAAGTGTGCAACATAAAAATAGTTGAGGGCAAGATTTTTTCTTTTAAATCGGCAAAAGAATGTTGCTCAGATCCCCTTTGTCCTTCAGAGGAATTGTTGAAAAACCACCAGCACAGGCAGTGAAAAGCGTATTTGATTCTCACGTCATGTGTGGTCATCTGTTACCTGGTGTCTAAACAGTAAATCTTTGGGACTCTGCAGCAGAGCTGAGGTTTGTTATCTATAAAGAATTCAGTTCTTCCCCTGATGAAGCCTGTGTTAAGTGCTGGTGGCTTCATCTGACCCCCACCTCTGCTTCTCCTGCTTGCTCCTCCCTTGCAGCCCATTGTCTGTGAGTTACGAAAGGCAGAGTACTGTTAACTTCTCTCCTTCCTTGTTCTCTGACCTCAGTGTGGATTTACAAAGACTATGCCTTCCCCAGCTGGCAACCTCGGCCTCCCAGACTTTAAATGAGAACTTGTTTCCTCAAAGGATGCACAAGAGAGCACTTTACTGAGCTTTGTGGGATGAAGTTGGGCCTAGTTGGTACCCAGATGGAACACTGCTCTTCTCAAAATTGTTTTGCATGGACACTCCAGCTGCAGGATTAAAAAAAAAAACAAAAAAAACAAAAACAAAAAAAGGCAGTCTTTTCTAGATGTTTTTGAAGAGTGTATGGAGTTTGCAATGACAGTTTTTTAATAGTGGTAGTGTTTTATTCCCTTCCTGTTTGTAACCCTGTTCTTGCTTTGGAAACCTGTAATGATTTAGACTTGTCAATATTTGTAAGAAACTGAATCATCTGTCATTTCTCAGCAGCCCAAGTCATGCTGGTTGCTAGCAAATACCTTTTAATTTGCACTTAAGAAGAAAAAGTATATCTGCATTAACATGGAGTAAAATTGCTATATGATGGTGTGGCCATGCTGCCTGTCTCCTTTTATTTTTTTTATTTTGCCCTTCTTGGAGAAAAGACAAACCTGGCCACTATAGCAACAGACCTTTAATAGTGTAAAGTTAGCACTGCACCGTAATCTGACCAGTATCTGTACAGCTTCTTGGGGATAAATGCTTTGCTGATGGTGAAATAAAATCATTAGTGTGGGCAATACCGTGTCGATGGCTTTCAGCAAAGGAAAGCTTCTTTTCTTGTAGTCTGCAGCTCCTTTCAGATCTGATCTGTCACGGGGAGGACTGCTCGGATGACGTCACATTTCCTCCGTGCCCACATACTCAGAATCAGGTATGCAGTACCTACTTTTCCCTCAGGTACCACTTCCCATTCAGAGTTTTCTGGTACTGTAACAGTCTCGTTGTCTGACTTGCTCTCCACAGAAAGGGAGGAGTGCAACTCATGCACGCCTGGTAAGAAAACATCAGCAGGAAATGGGCAGAGCTGTCCCACTGTGGCTCTCGTGTAGCAGAAACCTCAGCGAGCACTATTGCATTGTACACTAAAACTGGTCAGTGGACAACTCCGTGGTGCTGGGAGCTGGTGCTATAACACATTTTGATTTACACCTTGTTGCAGGGAGCTGCTCTTTGTTTACCTGTAGTTTGAATTATTGAGCACAGTGTACATTTTAAAATTTTTTTGGGAAGTCACTTTGCAGTATCTTTAAAAACTTGCTTACCATGACATGCAGTGTCATGAGTGCTCATTCTTTTTGTATTAGATAAATATTACCAGTGATGCTTTGCTGTAGCAGTTCATTGTCTGACTTGTTTTTTTTTTTTGTATTGGTGAGTGACAGTAACAGAAAAGGAAGAGCCTCCACATCTCTGGTATTTTGAGTGGTCACTGTGGACTGGAGTATTCAGAGGCAATGCCTACTATGGTCAGATGACCATAAGCAGAATAACTAATTGTTGTGAATAGCAACCTGAATTTCTCTATTGGGGATTTAAACTAAAGGGAAGAGCATATTCTAGGAACTGTACAAACAGCTGGATTGATGGCTCTGGCCAAGAGCATTTAGGAAGGTTAGAGATGATATCACACTCTCTGGATCACAAAGCAATATGTCTTTCTCGTGATTACAGAACAGATGCAGAGCTCCTCTCTAAAGCATGTGCCTATACACAAAACCTACCTGTACAAAAGTTAATTCAGTCAGAGGTTTGATATCTACCCCCCTCACATTTGTAAACTTGACAGGATTTAAAAAAAAAAAATAGATGTGGCCTTCCTAGAGTTTTTCCTCTAAAAGTGATTGCACTATGTAAAACACACTGTACATTGCCCATTGCGGGCATTTCTTGTGCTGCTGCAATGCTTTGTATACCTGGAGTGCAGTGTGCGGACCTGACTCTAGCACTTGCTGTTGCTTAAATGGATGTATATTGAGAAAAGTTTTCTAATGTTGCAAGATCTCCATAAAATTCACTGCAATCTGTACTGTCAAAGTATGTGAATGATTGACTGAAAGAAAACCCTCCTGCTTACCAAAAAGGTGAAATTAAATAAAAGCTGCATGACTTGTTCCTGGAAGTGACTGGTACTGGTTTTTCTCCCAGTATAAGTATTTTACAGTATCCTTGTGGGCATTGTGTTCTGCTCTGCCCTGACCTACCCTCCCTCAGGCTGCTTGCCTAAAGATGCGGTGATGGGTTTAAGCTGACAAAGGGGAGATTTAGGTCAGATTAAGAACAAGTTCTTCACTATGAGGGAGGTGAGGCACTGGCATAGGGTGAACAGAGAAGCTGTGGCTGCCCCATCCCTGGCAGTGTTCAAGGCCAGGTTAGACAGGACTTGGAGCAAACTTCTCTAGTGGAACCTGTCTCTGCCTGTGTCAGGGGGTTGAAAGCACGTGATGTTTAAGGTCCCATCCAACCCAAGCCCCAATATGATATGTAACTATATTCCACATACAAATCTGGAAAATGAGGCCATCAGTAAAAACTTCCTTTATGTAGAAAATATTTAAAAACATAACATAGCCACATTATTGCAGATACAGATGTATACCCCCCCCAAATCTATTTTTCTAACTGATAAGCGAGCAAGGCTGCAGGAAGCAGAAATGTAAATTTAGTGGATCTTGGCTACCAACTGGCTGAAGCAGCATCAGGCAAGACGAACACTGTCAGACCCACATAAGTCAACTCAGGTTTTCCTCATTCCATTCAAAACTTTCAGTTGCTCCACGACTACTTATTGTTCACGGCATGCTTGCAATGCAAGTAAATGTTCAATGCATATTACTGGCATGACTGCAATTACAGGGCACACCAGGAGGAATAAATGCAGCCAGTCTAGCTAACACTACAAGCAGCAGAATCCTGCAGATTTAATTATTAATGAGTTTCCTTAATCATTAATAGGAGTATTAAAAACTGGCAGAATTTCTTTGTGGTCTAATTATAGACCATGTGCAGAGAACACTTCGGAAGCTATGACTGATCTTAAAAGACCAGTGGAGTTCTCTTGTCCTCCACATTTGCACTTGTGCTATTTACTTCTCCGTATCTTCTTGAACTCAGTGCAGCCGTTTATTCTGGAACTATGTATGTCTTGAAACGGTGGATACACCATCCACAAACTTGGTCTTGAAGAGCACATTTGCATTGCTAAACATTCCATCCTTCAAGGACACCACAATAAACTGAAAGAAATGAGAAAGCTTAACGTAAATGCTGCCATCCAAATAAAGACTTTACAGAGAAATGGAAAAGGCTTCAAAATGAGGTTTCCCTTTATCACCAAGATATTAGCCAAATGAAGTAATTCTTAAAGCAAAAAAATTTATTTTATCTGTCAGCAGAATGTGATGCACAGGTTAACATAAGCCTGCAGGACAAGCATTTTCTGCTGCTAATGCTGTATCACTGTCCTTATTCCCTGGCTTACAGGCCCCGATACAGAACATCTGCTCATGATGATGGTGCATCCATCACTGAAAAAAACCCTTGCCACAAATTTTGTAAGAATGCAGGATCTTCTATTCACAGCCTAAAGATACTGATAAGAAACATTTCCCCTCCAACCCTTAATTTGGAAAGCTCATACCACCAAAGTAAAGACGTCACTTGAAGTAGTATGTTTCTTCCATTCTACAGATTTTTTTCATGCACAGGCTGCATCAAACTGAGATTCCACTAGTGCCTGGCTTGTTTCAACAAGGTCAGAAATGAAGTATTTACAAAGCTCAGGTTAAAGAATACTAGGTTAAAAATCACCTGAGGATATGAGTAATGCCTGAAATTGATCATATCACGGATACTCTTCCCTTTTGCTCCCTCATATTTAGCCATTGCAGCAATGGCTTACATGAAAACATAATGCTTTGAAGTTTCACAGGTGCCATATAATCAGTTCAACTTCCAGTTGAAACAACTTACAAATACATCTCTGGAATAAAACACTTGAGAGTATTTCATTCTCATGCCACCTAAGAGCTGAGACTCTTCAGTGGCAGACTGCCTCTAAAAATAATAAAATGCATAAATAGATGATCACAATAGTTTCAAGATCATACCTGTGACTGTTTGAAATGAGTATAAAGCATCTGCCCAATATTTTGAGTATGAGAGAGATCAAGAGCTGCATCCACTTCATCCAAGATGTAGATCGGGGCAGGGTTGAAGAGAAGCATAGATAATATCAAGGACAAGGCCACCAATGATCTAATATAGAGAACAAGAAAGTTGTGAAAGCTACATTTTACCCTCTTGTTTGAGAGGATTTGGTAGTAACAAAAATGCTCTTGCAAAGGCAGATTCATGCAATGAGTTCTGAAGAAACAGAAGTGCAGCTTCTTCCGTACTTCTGACTTGTGAACATGTAAAGCCATCTGCAGAAATAGCAAACCTTACTGTCTTACCGAAAGATCAGGACCTGCTGTTGCTTTACCTATTTTCAATTCTGAGTTTTGCAGAGTTATTCTTCAATGTACAGTCCTTGAAGCATTCTGCCCTTGATAAAGTTCTGTATCTGTCTCACCTCTTCCTAAATTCTGTTTCTGTAATTCTGTTAGAGTTTTCTTAGAAAGAAGCACATAGAGCTACTGTGTAGGGTAGCACTGGAGAAGGAAACTGTGACTGTGACACTACTTTTGACACTGGGGCAGAGCTTATTTATATAGATATTTTAGATTACAACTCAAATGCTGCAGCATTTAATTCAATACTACTTCAGTAGTACCTGGAATCAACTGCCGTTTTCTCACCACTCGATTTTTCTGTTACTTCTCCATGGAATAAAAGCTTGTTATATGCCAAGTAAAGCATTCTCTTAAGTCAGATTCCTGTTTGAGCTGAACTGAATTAATAATGTTTTCAATATTAAGTCAGGTTGGAAGAAGACAAGAGTCCCTGCCTTGAGCAGTGGAAAAAGATAACTTTTTTGATTTCTGAACTATAATAAGCTAGATATATGAACTATATACATACTGCAATGGAAAATAAGCAAACAAAACCCCCACAAAGTTCACCAACCTTTGTCCTCCACTAAGTTCTGTTAAGTTTTCCTTCCAGGTATTTCCTAAGGCGACTCTGAATTCCAGACCATCCAAGACATTCTGGGTTTTGGTGGGTGTTAGCATAGCTTTGGCTCCCGGTAGAAGCAATGAGAAAATTGAACTGAAGTCTTTATTCACCTAGAAGTCAGACAAGAAAAGGTGCATCTACATGGTCTGAATCAAGAGCACAAGCAGCTCAAATGGTACAAATGAGCACAAATGGTAGTTTTGCAGGTTTAACTGTATCTTTACAATTATCAGGGAATTGCCGTGTTATTCTAAATAAGATGGACCAGGGGAAATTAAATGGTTGTTTTGTAATTTAAATAACAGGAAAGGGAGATTACTTCTGAAAAGAAACATTTTCTTTTTTTCCCCCCCTTTTGAGATATGCACAACAGTGATCTAGAGATAAATCTGATCCTCTGCTAAACTGAGAAGTTTCAAGTGTCATACCTTTTCCCACGCCATATATAAAGTTTTAATTTTCCTCTCGTCAAGTTCTGCGATAGCTGAAAGAATTTTTATCTTGTCATTCTCCACAATACATTTTTTCCTCAATAATTCATGGTACTGGTGCAAAGAGAAGAAAAGATTGGTTTCAATGAACTTTGTGCTCAAGTATGTTTTGTGCTAATCCTACAGTTTCACTGTTTATGAGTTTTGCAACTATGAAATAGCCATTAGCCACAAGATTTGAAATCCAAAGCATTCATTTAGCTGTATTCAGGATTTAAGTTTTAGGGTATTGCAAATTAAAACATTAGAATTTTCAATAATTGGCAATGGGGAAACCCAACATTATTCTGAAAGTTGCACTTCCTTTTCAAGTTAATCATGTTTCATTTGCTGTTTCATAGAAGAAAGGATGCTTTTGGAGGCTGATGGGAAGAACAGGCCAATTCTAATCATGAAACAGTATCTGGAAAGTTCAAGCATCAGTCAGTGGACTATTTTTGAGACAGTACTGCAAAAGCCTCAAGATAGATGAAGTCGAGGCAACCTCAGACCACCTTCAAGCTATTATGCTTGAAGATGAACATTTATTTTGATCTGCAATGTTTAATAAAGTATATAATTCTCAGATACTATAATAGACACCACAAACCTTGCCTAATGTTTCTGCTGCCAACTGAGGGTGGACTGGGGTAGGGAGAAATTAAATTACTCTCTTTACCATCCAAAGTCAAGGTTATGCATAACCTTGAAAACTAGTGCACAGGTGAAGAGTTCAAAGTTTAAGATCAGTATAAAAGATATAACAAAAGTTTTCCTGCTATCTCATAGTTTTATTTTTTTGTGTATTCAGAAATGGAACATACTAAGATACAAAGCTAGGTTATATGTAATACCATATACTCAACCTGACCAGTCTTTATAGGTTAAAGCACAGAATGCTTACCTTTTCTTCTGTATCAGAAAGCATAGACATAGCTCTCATGTTCACATTCCTCTCCAATTTCTGTTTTGTCTCCTGCATTTTTTGCAGCTTCTGATGTGCTTGTTTAGGATTGTTTTCTTTGAAATCATAGGCTGTGTTTGGCTGACCAAAAAGATGTTTCTCTGAAGCTATCCACTTATGCTCTTTCAGCATCCTGGTCACCTGTAAGCAAGAGGATATGTTGATGTTTTGTTTTGTGGGTTTGTTTTTTTTTCCTTATCAAATGTGAATTACTTTAAAAAAGAAAAAAAACCAACATCCTGAAATCACAACATTAATTATTCTATGCCAATAAGGCACAGGTGTTTAGCTTTATAATGCTTTGTATGATTTCCAAGACTGTAGATGATGCAAGGTTTTAAGGGAGCTTTAACGTCATAATTACTTGGAACATGTTTTTCTCTATATGTACTAAGCCACTGTCACTAAATCTTGGGGTTAGCTTCTTTAATTAGTTACTTGTCAGTCAGAATGCTTTTCTCATTGACCACCATCACACTGTAATCTACTCTCTAGCAGTCCTTATTGATAAGCTTTGTTACAGTTTCCAGCCCTCTTCCTGGGATAAAACTTTTCACAAAGAGCTGCACAAGAACAAAAATGAAGAACAAAAAGGCTATTTTCTTTGCACAGCTTCACAAGACACAAGGAAAAGTACAGTTCTGAAATACCGTGGCAGCAGCATCAGCAGCCCCTTGTTGATGTTTCTTGATGTTGTGTTCTAATTCTTTAATTTTAAGCTGCAATTCATTATTTTGTTCTCTGCATTTTGCTATCTCTGCAGATTTGGCTTTAAATTCTTTATCCTGTAACATAATTAGTTCCTTTTTCTTGGCCAGCTCCTCCTTTGATTTCTCTACAGATTCCTGAAAAGTAAATCAAACAGACATTTATTAGCTTCTTTAAAAGGCTGCTGTTGGACAGTAGTTAGAAGAGAAGGACACAGAAAGAAGAGGGGGAAATAAAAAAATAAAAAAAAAATCACATGTGACAAGCCAAAAAGTAACTCCCTTGTCTAAACACAGAATGCTGGTGAGAAAATCCAAACCACAAAATACACATTATAATTTCAGCTTTAGGGGATCATATCTTCAGTAACATCAAAACAGATAATGAAACAGTATTCACTTTTACCTTTGTCTTAGACACCTCAGCTTCCATAGCATTAACTTGCTCCTGGTAGTGTTTGATTGCATTATTTGCAGCCTCTATCTGATGTTTATAGGAGGTATGTTCTTTTTCTAGCTCTTTAAGTTCCAGAAGTAAAGCTTCAAGCTCCTAGAGCGATGTTTTCAAATTAAACAGAAATAATTAAGATTCAGTATGATGTTGTAAATGCTGTAGAAGATGAACAGTGCCCCATTCTTCTGCGAGGGGGCAATCCCACATAAAAACCGCACATACAAAACCAAAAAACCTACAGTGAAAAACCCACAACAAAATCCAACAACAAAAACAAAAAAAAGGCATCAGCAATTTCTATGTCAGTGACTACAGATTAATGTATTAACTTCCAAAACTGAGAGTATTAAAAATTTAGGAGAATCAAATTTTATGATTACTGCAACATTGAGAAAAGTGCCAACAAATTTAAGTTTTACCTGCTGCTTTTCTCTCATTTTTTGGCCTGAATCCTCCGCTTTTTTCTTGGCATCATCCAGCTGCATCTTGGCATTTTTCAGTGCTTTTTTACATTCTGATTCTGCATTTTTCATTTTATTTTCCAGTAGACTGTATTTATTTTTTGCTTCCTGATGTCTCTCTTCAATTTTCTTTAATGTCTCTTCACACTCCGCTGAATCAAGAAGTACAGTACTGAGATTGGACATCATTCTTACCTTCAAATTCAACTCCTAAATTCCCACTGAAATAAATCTGTCTTGCCTCTAACAGAAAAGAGTTCTTTCATGTTTGCTAGTTACTAAGTGAGCTATTTCAATGACTACTTTAAGACAGTGTGCTGTTAACAGTTATTGGTAGGGCACCAAATAGCCCAGTCATTAAAACGGGGCTAGTGTATGCCAAATCACATGATAAAGAAGTAATTATCAGATGGCTACCTAGTAAGATATCACCTCATACCTAGAATACTATGTCTACATATGAACCACTTCTGTCCATCTTTTTTCTTTACAAGTTTCCTTATTGCTGCATTTGCTTCCATTTACATTTTTTCTTAGCTATACAAACAATACTTCTTTCCAATGTTTTCTTGTTATGCAAACTATTTATATGGCTAACTTTAAATACCTACAGAAACAGACAGCTTGGAAAAAATAAAATTACTCAAATACGGGATTAAATCCAATTTAAAACTTCTCTGTAAAGCCATTTTCCCTTTTATTGTAACATATTTAAAACACTTAAGAACATAAACTTTACTACAAGAAAATGGCCAACCTTATGTGAATCACCTCTGTGCAAGTCTATTCTGACTATGTGTTTGTTAAATATTCCAAAATATGAAGATAGTATTTTCAAAGTGAAAAATATCTTTTTCTTAGGCATAGATTCTGCTACTCAAACAGCCAGATCCATCTCAGTATCAGCAAACAGTTTTCAGTTAAAAGATTCAGAACATATTCGTCACCAATGGTTTTCTTCAGGGCAAGCAGCTCTTCCTCATGTTTATGATAAGCACTTTGCTGAAGCTTCATTTCCAACAGCTCTACTTGCTCACAGTTCATCTCCCACTGCTGCTTCAGTTGTTGGTACCTTTGAAGACAGTAATGGTACACACTGCTATAATGAAGGGTACCGAGCATTTCCATTTCAAAGTTGAAAGAAGGATATATAGAAATAAGTAAATACCTATATTTCCATTCTAATGTGAGACACAGTGATGACTGTAGGACCAATAAGCTTAAATGTATGAAAACAGTATAGCTGCTTTAATAGTAATGGTAAAATTTGTAGGTAAGTTATTATATATGTAGTTCCTGGTTATGTAGCCCTGGTAAGATATACTAAAAGCAAACAAATGCAACACATGGAATTTGGCAACAATTCAGAGGCCATGTTTTTCAAAGCAGCAGCATGACAGATGCCAAGCTGAAGCATTAAGGTAAAAAAAAAAGTCTAAAAGGTCAAAATATGACCTCTTGGTCATATTGCTGGAAGTCTATTTGCTGGAACTCATACCAATCTGAAAAACAAATCCAGCTGGTAGATAACATATTACACAACACTATCTCCTTGAGGGATTTTTACAGAATTGACTAAACATACCTTTATATTCCATCTTTTAAAAAGATCTTTAGTATCTGAATAGCTGAAAAATCAGACATACTTAGAATTATTTAAATCATTATAGTAGCATCACTCAGATATTCCCCTTTATTATTTATTTCCTTGGGATAAGAATAAGAGCTATCACAACTGAAATTCTCTGTGGGTGTTACAAGATATGGCTAGAACAGATTCATTATTCAGTGGACTTCATGAAACACTGGAAAACTTCAATGTGATTTCAAGTAGACATCATTGCACACCTTTTTTCCCTCCCTGTACTACTCAAAACAAGATTTTCTTAAAAACTAGATTTGTTTGCTTAAAAATTGTATTAGGGGAAAAGGGGGAGGAGAAGTAGGAGAGAGGAAGGGAATTATTTTCTGCATATTGTACTCTCAATAGGCCCTATGCCCTCCAAAAATATTTCTTTATATAATTATACTTATTCAGTCACATAAAAGAAAAATAAGATATTTAATCGGGAAAACCATACTTATCAGCAACATTCTTCAAACGTTCCAGCTCATCCTCTACAGAGCGAAGTTCAGATTTCTTAGTTTCAAGTTCTGTTTCAACAGCTTTAATTTCCTGAAGCTCAGCCAACACTGATGCAGCCTGTGAGCTCGCACCTGTGTGGTGGAGAGGAAAAAAAAAAGGCAAAGTCAAGTTAATGGGAATTAAGACTAATGGATTCCACACTGGAAATAGCAAATTCTAAATGTTAATAATTATGCAGGTTGAAGATTTAATTACAAAACAGAAAGGCAGCTAGGGTAAAATTACAGTAGCTCTCAGTGGAGAAGACTACCTGTTAGAGAACTGAGTTTTGCATACTCATTACTATACATGCATTTCTTGTGAAATCAACTAGCTTTTCAAAATTACCTCAAATTATTAATTACATGTAAAGTAATTACTTTTAATTCAAAAGTACCTGAATTACTTTTAGAAGTGCTTGAAATCAAAGCAACTTTCCAAGAGAATTATATAGGCAAATAAGACTTAAGTTTTTAAAATCTAAAGTATTTTATGCAAATAGTTCACCATTATTTTTTTCCTTAGTCTAACCTTACTTGAGCTCAAGACTTGACAAATCTTTGCTCAAACACATCATATTATCCCCAGTATAAGTCTAAACAGAAAGATTACTGTTCATTTTTATAAAAAGCATGAAGAGCAGTAAACAAATCAACAGATACACAGTATTATTATATGAATAAAACCAGTAATTGCCTCCATGCAGAGTGCCTTGGGGGTCAAATATATCTCCATCAAGTGTAACAGTTCTTGTCATTATCCTTTTGTCAAAGGTAATTTTCTTAGCACTATCCATGTCATTACAGATCAGTGTGGTTCCAAAGACATATTCCATTGCTTTCTGCAGTTCAGATTCATATTGAATTAGAGAAAGGGGTAAATCCAAGTTATCACAACCAACCTAGAAAATCAGATGAAATACAATTAGTATGCCTTAAGTTATGAGAATTTTCAGATTTGTCTTTTCTTGATAAAAAACCCACTTTCTAAAAAAAGCATTACATTTTAAACCAATCTTTTTAAAGCAGAATAACTGATATCCATTTAATCATGACATAGCTGAAAGGATACAAAAGAAAAGAAATAAAGATACTCTCAAGTCCTATAGAAATCCTTATTAGTATAGCCATTGAGAAGCCCATATTTTTAGCAAAGAAACAAAATTAAAAATCTACACAAGCAAAATAATATAAACAGTGTATTTATTTACATACCAAGGTTTGGGCCAACTTGATCTTCTCTTGACTAATACACCTGGCCAAAATTTTGTTTAGGGGAATGATGGTGCACCGATGCTTTAGTTCACCCTTTTTCAAAAGCTTTTCACCAGTAACCTCAAAAAGAAGAGTTACAAATAACTGAATACATAACTGATTTTGTAAAGTAAGACAATAGGGCATTGCAAGGTGAACATATAGTTGCCATTAACTATGCATGACACTCTTCACCCCATTTAAACACATATATGGGTCCAAACCACCTCTTAAGCCTTCAGTAAGAACCCTGAATCACACAACCTCATCTAAAAATTCAAGTTCTGTATTAAAGTAGTAAACATACCTCTGTGTCCACAATAATGTTATAGAGTTTCCCACCAGCCACTGCTTCTAGGGCTTTTGCTTTGGACAGATCTTCCACTGTGATAGAAGAGACAACTAGGCCTTTCACATGGTTGGGATTCCAATTTTTTTCTGGATCACTTAAAATACATTTAAATTACGATAATTACATGTTTGTTTCTCTTCCACACATATTACAAAAATTTATATTTAAAAACTCATACTGCTTATTACACTAGTATAAAATTCTAAATGCCATGACAAAAAAGCCCACAGAAAATGGTTAAATTAAATACTTCAGGGCAAGAGACTTCCCAATAAAGAGTCAGTTAGAGAGTCATTAAAAGGAAAGCAAGAGCTAATCAGTTGATGGAATTATCCTGTAAGTCTCATAAACCACACTTAAATTCCCCAAAAAGCACTTTCAAATGTCTTTGAGGTTTACACTGAGATCTTACCTGTATTCAAACCGTAGAAGAGGAAACTTTGCCATGAAGCCTTCATGCAACTCTTTCAGGTGGATGATGTCATTGGTCAATGTCTTCTTTTTTGCTAAAAAGGCTGCTTCTTTCTGTTCTAAAGAGTTGAACACAAGCAGTAGACAAACATCCAGAGCACAGAAATCTATTAGCTTAAAAAATGGTATACTACACTGTTTATCTGCATATGTTAATACTTAATTGAAAGACTTTCTAAAAGTCTCTGTAAATTTCCAGTTTAGACAAATTAATATCACAATACTGAAAATTGAAAGAGTTTAGAAATCTGATGTGCTTCTCTGAATGTCATTCTGGATTATCCATTTACAGTTTCAAGTAGCTTCTGCCACACATTTACTTGGGATGAGAAATGAACTATAAGAAGTGTTTTAGCTAGAAAAAACAAGGAAAGAATGGGAAGATTAGTCACTCTTTCCATCTAAATTTTAGATGGAGTTTAAATTCTCCATCAAACTTTAAGACATTTGGCCTAAAGTTTATAAAACTGAACTATTTTAAACCGTTTTCTCTGGAAGGCAAGAGCTTGCACAGCTTTGACCAGAGAAATTTCTTTCTGCATCAAAGAAGCATACTTGGTTTTTCAGCTCCCTCTTCTGTTGGGTCTGGAGGGGTTGGAATTAACTTCCCCGTAGCAGCTCTCATGGTGCTGTGCACTTCTAGTAAAAAGGTGTTGATAACACACCAGTGTTTCAGCAACTGCTGAGCAGTGAATCACACTGCATCAAGGTTGTCCCTCCAAAACTTCTTCCAAAGGCTAGTAGGCTGGGGTGTGAGTAAGTCTGGGAGCTGACAGAGCTAGGACAGATGACCCAAGTGATATTCCATACCATATGGTATCATCCTCCGCAACAAAAGCCGAGAGAAATGAAAAAGGGAGAAAGCGTTCCTTATTATGGCATTTGTCTCTGAAACAGGCCACTACACTGGGAGAAAGAAGCAAGAACATGTTGACAGCAGCAATTCTGCAGACACCAAAGTCAGTGAGGAAGGAGGGCAGGAGGTGCTCCAGACAGCAGAGCAGAGATTCCCCTGCAGCCCATGGTGCAGACCACGGTGGGGCAGGCCATCCCCCTGCAGCTCTTGGAGGTCCATGTGGATCATATATCCATCTGCAGCCTGTGGAGAACCCCATGCTGGACCAGGGGATGCCTAAAGGAGGCTGTGACCCATGGGCAGCCCACCGGTGCAGGCTCTTTACAGGACGTGTGGGGGACCCATGCTGGAGCAGTCTGTTCCCTGAAGGACTACACCCTGTGGGAAGGACTCACGCTGGAACACTTCATGGGAGGCTGTCTCTGATGGGACAGACACCACAGTGGAGCAGGGAAAGAATACAAGAAAGAAGCAGCAAAGATGTGTGCTGAATTTACTACAACCCCATTCCCCAACCCCTTGGGCGGTAAGGAAGTAGAGGATTCAGGAGTTAAGTTGAGCCCAGGAAGAAGGAAGGGGTGAAGGGAATTGTTTTAAGGTTTGTTCTTATTTGCAATTATCTTACTCTGATTTGTGAATGGCAATAAATTAAATTATTTTTCCCCAAGTTGAGGCAGTCTTGGCTGTGAAATTATTGGTGAATAATATCTCCCTGTCCTTATCTTGATCCAAGAGCCTTTTGTTTTATTTTCTCTTCCCTGTTCAGCTAAGGACAGAAGTGATAGAGAGGCTTTGGTGGGCACCTAGTGGCCAGTCAGGGTCAACCCACAACACTTTTCTATTTCTTTTCAGATTCCCCAAAAATTATACACCAGAAGTTTGTACAGACCGTCATAGTTCAAGTTCTTTGTTTGGTTCTCTATTTTTTCTTTTGTTTTTCTGACAGCTTCAAATGCTTCTTTATCTTTCTTGTACTCTTCATCCATGTTTTTAACTTCAGATTCTTTTGTCTTTAATTCTTGTTGTGCATAGCTCAGCTTCATTTGAACCTGTAAGCAGTAAGAAAATACGTAAACAGAAAATCTTCAAAGAGACTCTTGCAGGTGCAGATTTAGAACACTTGCACTAACAAGGTGCTTATATATTTTGTTGGAAATTTTCACTGGTTGCAGAAATGCCAAAAAACAGCCTTTGCTTTTGAAAGGGCACATGAAATTTGGAAATAAAAACATCAATCTTCTATTTAGATATAATAATTTGTGCAAGCACATGAATAAAGTTTGAGAAGAAAACAAGGTAATGTGTGACACAACTTTTCCCAAAATAATTTTTCCCTAAGTGAGATACGGTATGCTTTCAACTTTGAAATCCACTGTGAGAACTACCCCAGCAGAGATTTTCTACCTTAAGATAAAAGAAGTAGTGTCTGTTTCAGTCATGTGACTAACACACAATTTAACCAAAGAAAAAATAGTTTCTTCTGAACATTCTGTTCCCAGTCTCAGGCTTTTTTATTTCAATTCCAGTAAATTTTGCTGTAGATATGTCTATAGTATGAATGTGTATCATTGACAGAAGTCTTAGTTTCTTTCTATCCAATACTGTCAGTCATTTGAGTACAACAGTTCTACTTTATATTTCAAACGCCAGTTTCTATACTCCCTCACAGCAATGTTACAGCTTTTTCCTATCGGTGTATATCTATGTGAAGGTATTTTTCTCTTTTTATCAAAAAAGTCACCTTAAGTATGCCACCTTGCAAAATATCTGGCATAGATATTCTGTAAATCTCTTCACTGATCTTTCACGAGTGTCTCATTTGTTTTCCAGACAATTTTCAGAAGAAGGAGGAAGGTTGGTCTGAAATAGGCAGAGCTTTTATTCTTACCTGTTTGGCTTCTGTTGCTGCTTGGCTAATTTCAATTTTGCAGGTCATCATCTGCTTAGAAAGAGTACCTTCTTCCCCATCACCACTGCTGGATAAGCTAGCAGACACAGCATTAAGTTGTGCTGCAGCTAAAGCACTTGCATCTTTTTCACTTGCTTCCTGTAAAGCATTTAGTTCTTTCTTTCTCTTCTTTACTTCCTCCTCCTTTAACACAAGTGCTTTAAAATCCTTTGGCAAAATAAAAAACAATAAAGGAAGAGAGAACCTGAGTCCCACTAACTCTAAATTCATGTTGTTTAGATGAGGAGCTATGAGTAGTTTAATCAACTACATTTCTACGACCCTTTGTCAGATTTTGTGATCTTAGAATTTGTTTTATGTTTCCAAGTACATTCATGCCCCACGAGTACACTGAAGATCTACAGAAAGAGACAACAGCTGCCCAAGAACTAGGATAAATAGCTCTTTCTTCCCTATAGCTAAAAAGTAAGGTATTCAGTGCTGCTCTTGCACAAAAAAAAAACAACTCTATCAACTGTCAGAAATATGCAGATTTCTCCTTTAATTTTAAGAACACCACAGACCCAGAAAGCATAATCCTTTTGAAGCTATAGGGATCTATCCTGAGCTTAACAGAAGTTCTCAATAATTAAAAAAAATTGCTTTTTCTTTGTATATGCATCATATTTGTCTCTAATGGGAATCAATGCTTAGGCTGCACAAATCAAACAATGCCCTTACTATTTGTTTTCTGATGTAATTCTTGCCAATCATAGGATTTCTTACCATAATAGGCGAGAAAAAACAGCTGTCCCCCTCAGTGAGTTAATTTAGTGTTTAAAGAAAATGATATACAAAGGTCTTACCTCCTCCATATTTTTTACCAGTTCTTTACGTTTAACCTCTTCACTTTTTAAGTTTTGCTTCTTGAGATTAAGAGCACTTTCTGCCTTAGTATTAACTCTCTGGATTTCTGCAAAAGCCTCTTCCAGTGAACGGAGCACACCACCAACTTCCTACAATAAGAAACAAAGGAAATTTAATTTAGCCTAAGAAACAAGTACAGTATTTGTAATATTTCATTTTCTATTCACAGCTATACGTAGAAGAGATATCTGATCAAGCAAGCAGTTAGACTCCAATGCAAACAGCTCAGAACATCTCTTCCCTCTGAAATCCAACCTAATTGAAGACACTACTAAAGACCCATATCATGGGGCAATGTCCCTGGACAAGAGCTGCACTTATAGGCATATAAAGACCCTGTGGACAACCTGTATCTAACCAAATCTACTGCCCCCGGAAGTGAGGTCAGTACTGGTCTGCATTGAACAAGAGTTTTCTACTTGAAGTGTATTACTTTTGAGACATCAACAAAAAGGGAGGGGAAAAAGAAAAATCTGTCAAAATTTACCGTTTACTGCAGAGTGGAAATTTTAGGGCATTTTCTATTCTTCAGTTATTATTCATATACAGCAATTGGAAGTAAAGCATTTTGGACAAATAAAAACTTTAAATGGATGTATTTTAGATGATGGCTAAAAATGACAGTAAGTAGCGTATAATCTAGACAACCCACCAGACAATAAGAATTCAAGGGTATTTATCTGCAAAAATATTTCCCTTCTCACAAAACTCCTTATACTCAGATACGCATGACTGTTCTCACTTACATTATTATCCCTTTCTTTTTTCATCTTCGCTATTTCTTCACCAAATTCTTTCTGCTTCTTTTCATTTTCAGCCATTGATTCTTGAAGCTCCTTCACAGCAGTCTGTATTTTCTTTAATACCTCAGCAGAGGATATCTGTGCCTCTTTAGCCAGTGTAAACTCATAAGCTATACTGAGGCGGCTTAAATTTTCTACTGTGCCTGTTAGTTTTTGGTATTCTAGATAGGCTGATCGATCCTGAAAAGACACCAATCAGAAAAAAATTGATGGAAAATATTAAGTAGGACTGCTACATTAAGATAGAAAAATTTGATGGAAAATATTAAGTAGGACTGCTACAGAAATCTTCTAAGCACTTCTACTAAAATTCTTTGTAGATAAGAGGAAAGATTCTCTGTATAGTACATATTCATTACTATACATTGCAGGCCTTAGTTAAATCTTACCTAACCCAATACTCAATTCAACTGACTGTACAACCGAAATATCACTTGACAACTTCTTTGTTGGTGGTGGTTTGTGGGGTTTGTTGTTTATTTTTTTTTTTGTGGGTTTGTTTGGGGGGGTTTTATTGTTCTTTTTTAAGAACTATTATATGCTTTTATCTTCTACTTTTATCTAGTTCTCTTGTTTTCTTCCATCTCCCTACATTCCCTTCTAAGATTTCCTGAAAGTCCCGAATGTCACATTTTCTGTGCTTGGACGGATTTATTTCTCTTAAAAACATGCTGTTGTTTTAGCCACCATACACCAAATGGTGTCACCATGACACCACATTTTAGCCACCATGGTTCAGGGTAGACAAAAGTATTTTTTGTCGGCAGATAAGGGCCCTACCATTCTTGTAGTTTTTCCATACCTCTCTCAGTTTATGTAACGTTGGAGTGATAGTCTCATCTAAGGCCTGAAACACAAAACAGATAATTTATATTCTGATTTTAAACATAACTACCTAGTTCTGGGTACAGGAAATAAATACTTTACAAATTAAAAAACACACCACAATAATTATTCACTTATCTTTAGCAAATATAAAAGTATACTTTACAACATGTAGTACCCTATTAATTTCTTTCAGTTTGGCTTCTTTCTTCACTATGGTTTTCTGGACAGTTAATTTCTTGCTTTCATACAAACTTGTACCAGCTGCTTCTTCAATCATAGCTAAAATCTAAAATAAAGCAAAGCAAAGCAACACAAATTTGATGTTTCTTTTATTAGACAGGTTCAACTCAGAACTGAATTGAACATGTCCTATCCCTCTGTCATCTTCTTTTTGTCCTTCCCTCCCACCTCCCCCCCCTCCCGATTCTTTGCATTCAAAATAAATCGGTAAAACTTCAAACAAAAATAAAATAAAATAAAAATCTTCCAACTTTCTTACCTCTGGTGGCTTCATATTTAGAACTTTGGTAATTTGTCCCTGGTTAACAGAAAGACAAAATAAGAATGGTGGGTTTTGTACTATGCAATTTTACAAACAAAACTCCTGTATCTCCACTCATTTTTATATGTTATAAATTCAAAAATGATTTTTCTTATTTTTTCATGTACAAGGATAATCTGGTTTACTGAATTACTTAGCTCTTGAAATTTTAAATGCATCACTTCTTCACACAGAAAGCTTGAAATGGCCCTTATATCTTAGGCTCATTTTCCACATTCCTGCTTACATCTTAAAGGAGTAATGTGCACATTTTGTTCTAGTCTTACTGAGTTGCTGATGTTGAATAAGCTTTTAAATCATAAACTGGATTTTTTGAGATTTAGCTCATATGTAACTACAGAGAAGCAGAATAGGTGCAAAACTTCTTCTCCCCCCCAAGCTGGGACTGTTCCACTTGAAAATGTAGATTCTACTCTGTTTTATTATTCCTTGCAAATACTTCAGCGATTTGTCTAGTCCCTGTGTTGATGTTTATACAGGCTTTTTCAATTGGCCAGCACTTCCTTCTGTTAACTGTAATTCAAGTTATATCAGCTTCATTCAAAAAACTGTCTAATACGAGCGAAGAAAATCTGTGTCTTTTTAGCATAATAATAAAAGCAACACTTACCTGTTAAAGAGACAAAAAGGAAAATAAAATCAGAATGTTTTTGAAAAAGCTTGCTACATGAGGTCTTGTGGTACAAGACACGTATTTTAGGGCCAAACTATGCTGTAATAGAAATCTTAACTATTTAAAGGACATTTCATTTTTACTTGACAAGAAGCTACTTTTCTCTGATAAGGAAATTAAGTGTTCTACCATTATCTCTCCTGCCTCAAATTTAGTGCAACTTCTGTTCTTTTTGGACTTTGTAAAGATGCACACAATACCTGCATAATGAGGAAGTGAGGGCTATTGATGTTGAGCCCAATGGAACAAAAAAGATCCTGCACGCGAGCGCTGGTAACATTCACACCATTGATAAGATACTTATTTCTACCTCCAATGAGGACCTGGAAAGGAAAAGAAATGGAAATAACTTTAAGGATTTAAAAATTACTTGATATTATGAGAATATAAATTGTAATAAACAAAAATTCTGATAAAATACCATATATCTTTGCATACACATATATATCCATACTATGCAGAACATCAAAACAGATCTTATTGGTCTGAGGAGATACTGAAAATATTGTCCTGGGTTCAGCTGTATCTGTTATTTTTCTCCTTCTTAGTAGCTACTGCAGTGCTGTGTTTTTGACTTTAGTCTGAGAACAATGCTAAAGCTGCATGTATCTTCCCTCCTTCTGGACAGAAACAATAATGATGTTATGTCCGGCACAGGACTGTCCCAGTGAGTACCTTGATGCAATCTTCCCACCATATAAAGCAGTGATGGGTTTCTGCTAAAACAATTAACAATGAAATAATTAACAAGGGAGACCTTTTTAGGTGCTGTCATTCAGTACCAGACATAATGCCATCTTAAAATGCTGCCGCTATGGTTTCCTCTTCTGTTTATTCAGGCTGATACTTCTGCACTGGTTTATATTTGGATCAGATTTTAAAGTTACTCTTTGAAGAGGTAAAGACTAATGGTGGCATTTTCGGAGTCATCGGTTCTACAGCCTAACACAGAATGTTTTGTTAAATCCTCTGCTTACTTTCGTTAATGAGTGGTCAAATCCATTATAAAATAGTTCTTGAAAAAACAATTATTGCTCCCTTTACCTCTGTGTTGCCAGTTGCTTTGCTTTCTCACAGCTTCCCATGCCCTTCCTCAATGGCAGAGCATGAGACTGAAAACTCCTTGATGGAGTTAAGCAAGACTTGGCAAAAACTAAAAACAATCAGCATTGTTCTCAAACTAACGTTGAAAACACAGCATTGCACTAGCTATTAAGGAGAAAAAAAACTCTTAACAGCTGAACCCAGGACAAATATCTAACTAAAACATAAGAAAGATGTTTTATTGAGGACAAAACTGACAAGAAAACTCCCAAAATCCACAAGTTGTCATTTTTTTGTTTGGTTAGTGGTTTTTGTTGATTGTTTTGTTTTTGTTCTATCATTGTTGTTGTTTAAATTTGGGAGTTACCCTAATCAGAAAGATAAAAGCCGGGTTGGACAGGACTTTGAACAACCTGGTCTAGTGGAAAGTGCTCCTGCCAGTGGCAGGGGCATTGAGACTAGGTGACCTTTAAGGTCCCTTTCAACTTTTGAACCATTATATGGTTCTATGACAAAGTTCCTTTGCTTCTGGAGACCATGTTTAACACACAGTTTATGTATTAAGAGGAAAATATTAAAGCAGAAGGAGAAGCCACAAAAGAGAAAACAACATGCTTTCTGAACATGATTTCATTATTATGTTTCTGTGCAAGTCCATAGAAAACATTACTGATATAACACATTTAACAATATTAAACTAATTTCTCAAGAAATTCCTATTATTTTTATTTCTTTTTTACCTAGTACACTGGATTTACTTCTACACTTTGTGTTACTAACTACCATGCAGAAGAGCACTGCCTCAATTGCAAAAACTCAGGACTTTTTGTTTTGGTCCTAAAATGGTCACTCTGTTGAGCATGTTAAAAACGTATGAAGGATACTAAGCAATTCAGATATTAAAGACTCACCTGCCTAGACACGGAGATCTCATCACTACTTTCAAATCCTAGTGGACTTGCTTTCTTGTCAGAATTATCAAAGGTAATAGACACAGTTGCTTTAGTAACTCCAGCTTGCCCATTTTTATAAACTAGGTCTTGCAAGTTCGAAGCTCGCACCTAAATGCACAGAACAGATATATGGAATTTTGAAAGAAACTTATTACGCAGCTTCAGTATGTTACTGTAGGTTCTGGAGAAATGAATGAAAAAAAATCAGATCTAGATATAAGTCAAGATTTTATGTGAGACTAGGGGAGATTGCTAGCACTGTAAAACCACAGGCAAAGGGTGCCAGTCTAGTTTTAGTCACCTTGCTAATTTGTTTCTACATGAGATTCCTCAGAAAAATTGAGCAGATGTTTAAAAAACCCAAACAAACCAGATGACTAGTTCAGTCACCAATACACATATACAGCATGGAATCATAGGATGGTTTGGGTTGGAAAGGACCTTAAGATCATTTAGTTCCTACTCCCCTGCCATAGGGAGGGACACCTCACACTAGACCAAGGTTCTGTCGAGCCTGGCCTTGTACACTGCCAGAGATGGAGCATTCACCACTTCTTTGGACAACTCATTCCAGTGCCTCACCACCCTCACAGTAAAGAACTTCTTCCTTATATCTAACCTGAACTTCCACTGTTTAAGTTAAAACCCATTAACCCTTGTCCTGTCATTACAGCCTCTGATGGAGAGTCTCTCTCCAGCACCCTTCAGATACAGGAAGGCTGCTATGAGGTCTCCACGCAGCCTTCTCTTCTCTAGGCTGAACAGCCCAAAATTTCTCAGCCCATCTTCATACAGGAGGTGCTCCAGCTGCCTTTCCTTATCATAAAGTGTTTCACATAGAAATGAATTAGAAACTGTTCCTTGAAGGTCTTCTGGATTTGCCAACAACCTGGGGCAGGTGAGGAGTGGACAGGCAACACCAGAAAGAAATAACAAAAATCACCTGAAAACATAGATTGAAACTGATGCGAAGGGTTAACCAATGTACAGGAGGGTAGGTCAAGCTGCTTGCTTAAGTGTTACTTCTTGCTTATGCTTATCGTACTTACAATGTACAAGGGGATAGATCAAGCCGCTTACTTAACAACGTTACTACTCGTTCATGCTTATCATACTTGCTGTATATGCTAGAACAAAATATAAGGACGTGGCTATTGTTAAGAGGTAGGGACTGTGACTTGATTCCTGTCCTTTGGACACCTAGGCCGGCTGAAACTGGCTCTGCAGTTTGGACAATTATCAAGCTTCCAGGGAGAATGCGTAAAGATTAGATGTAAAAAGTGCAGGCTCGAGAAAAACTCGTTTACTTCATCTTGACACCCTTGCCCACGACCACCAGGAGGCACTGTGCAGGCACAAAGGACTTAGCTCATTATAATACGAAGCAGGGATAGGACATGAATATATATATAGGCGTGTTGTGCAACCTCATGCATATGTATAACTTTAGAGGATAAATATAAAGGGGAAACGACGCTGAGGTGTGCATGCTTTTGGAGGAGCTATTTCCCATGCGCCTCAGTGCTGAATAAATTGTATCTACTTTACAACTTCAACAAGTTGTGGAGTCTATCTTCGCATCAAAACTGATGTCAGAGCACACAATTTTTCTCACGAGTAAAGCAAATATATCCTCTTTTAAATAGCAGGCATTACACAAAACACTTTCTGATAATCAGCTGGCCAAGTCTAAAGACCCAATTCAGAAGTGAAAAAGTTAACTGCAAATAAACAAGTTAGTGCATTTAGCTGTAAAAGATCTTAAGCTTAAGGCTGCTACTGGTGAAGCAGGTCTTTTTAGTGTAAAGTTCTAAGCTGCATTGTACTTTGAGCTACTGTAGAATACTGATGAAACTGCAGTTTAATCTCAATGTAAGAAGCAAGATTGTCCGAGACCCAGTTTTATGTCATGAGAAATCCAAATAAACAAACCTATTAGTTTCTTATAGAAGCACCACTTCAGGTCTTCTGTCTGAGAATACACAAGACAGTAATATGAAATGCTGCTGAGAGAAGACCTTTCTTAAATGCCCCCTCAGTCTTTACCTGTGACATGCTGCTGATTCCCAACAGGAAACAGATTGAGTCCAAGATATTGGACTTGCCGCTACCATTCAAGCCAGTAATGGCATTGAAAAATGGGTCAAAGTCACGAATTTCTGTCCTCTGAGCATAGGATTTAAACCCGTCAAGAACAATTGACTTGATGTACATCTTCTCGCTGTTTCTCAAGGACCAAAGTATTTAAAAAGTTATCTGGCTTATTAAAAAAAAAAATAAAAAATCACCTGAAAAAAAAAAAAGAGAATCCCCTGAATGAGAAAATTGAAAGAACGCACAGCTTTTAGAGCAAAAATATCATGCATTTGTACTTAAAATTCCAACTACACCCCAGATCCGGAAAGCACAGAATCCAAGAAGTACGTGTATTTCAACAGCTTTTTAAGTGACGTGAGTTTACACAATGTTAACCACGACATTTGTATGGAGACTGTAGCATAACCCTGGTTTCTCACAACAGCAGCCACCGAAATAATCGAAAAGGCCCGGGCCTTTAAAAGGGCAGCCTCCCTTTCCACTCTGCAGGACTGTTGCCTCCTCAGCCCCTCCCCACCGGAGCGCTGAAGCCCAGGAAAACGACAGCCTAGGCTAAGACGCTGTGAACACAGCTCCATCCCTGCCCCTGCAGCCATGGCGCCTGCCCCTCATTCTCGCTGGAGGCGCGGCGGCTCCCCACAGCCCCTCGGGTGGCCAGGCCGAGCAAGCCCTCCCTGGCAGCTCCGACGCCGGAGCCAGGCGGGACCCTCGCACCGGCCGCGGACGGGCGGCACCCCCCAAGCCCCAGTACCTCACCGCCAGCACGGTACTCCCAGCCGCTAGCAACGGTTGAACTTTGGCGCCAAGAGTGGCGACCGTTAGGGGGAGGTGCCTCATGGAGGCTGCCTGCCACAGAAAGCCTAGCTCCTCCCTTGCCGACGGGAGAGACGAAGGGCTAGATCCACTCCTCTTTCCTTCTCAGAGGCGGAGCGAGGGCATTCAGAACGCAGGTTTTGGGCCTGAAGGGACGCCGCGCAGTCGCAGGCAAGTCGGCGGCGGGAGCAGGCTGATGGGAAAGGCCCCCTCCTGATAGGTCGAAATCGGGGGATTAAACGGCGAGTTTTGGTTCCGTGAGGGAAGGGAGTTGGAATTATACCACCGCGGCCCCGGGGGGAATAAAATGGCGAGGTTCGTTCCCGTGAGGCAAAAGAAGTGCGGCCCCTAAGAGAAGACGCATGGCTGAGCACGCGCTTCGGCCTTAGGGTGGGGTTATGTAGAAGGAGGAGCTTGCTACTACCGCGAGAAGGGTCTTTGAGTTACCGCAAAAGACGGTGAAAGAAACTCTAGGAGTTTTTTTTTCCAGGAAATTGTTCACATATGTATTGTATTTCCATTAACTAATTATAATATTTGCATTCTAATTACACACGTGTTTTCTTGCTGAGTGTGCGTCTCTGGTGGTCGCCGACAGTTCCGTGTTCACTGATTGACTTCAAAGCTTGCGCATGCTCGCAAATTCCCAGTGCGGGGTTAGCAGTGGTATGTCCTTGCTTCTGTTGTGTTCCAGTCTCTGTTACCTTGAAGGTTAGCATCTTTGTTCGTATTTACTGCCTCCTTAGCTGCTGTCAGTATCATGATGTTCCATCAGCTGGACGTTCCTTATTCCCTACGTGTCAGCAAGTTAAAACAACTTGCTGTATTTTACTATGTTAAAGGCATACACATTATTGTTAGTTTAAACCTAGAATTTAAGCATGGTTGTGTACATGTGTAACGTAATTTAAGTTACATTAAAATTAAGAATGTGTAGTTCTGTACTTCAGCCTCACCACCCTGCATTTCCAAATCTATCCATACCTATTCAAGCATCTTGCTGTAATCTGATTCGGAGAAATCTCCAGGAACTCACCAACAAAGTTGACAAGCAGGTATTCTTTGTTGCGGCACCGGGAGACATGAGGGATAGCTCCTCCTAGCATGTCTCATCCAAGCATCAACCAGGCTGTGATTATATTGTCCCTAAACGTACATGTTCATTAGATTACATACATATTCATTGAGTTATTTATACATTACATCATAGTTCTAGAATTTCTCCCGCATGCACACTAAAGTGGTAGTGGACTTTGTGACCTCTGGTGGTTATTTCTTCATATCTTTCTCTTTGTCTCTTGTTTTTAGGATCGTTGTCATGTCAATAACCACCAGGCAGGTTCTGGCCAGTTCTTGGGCAATGCTTATCTTAGCCATTTCCTTATCTCTATAGTTGCTAACAAAGCCTAAGGTCCTTGAAGTTACTCATTTACAACCCTATTCTTCAATCAACCCCATTCTTCATATTTGAGACTGTGATTTTTGTGCATAAAACACCTGTATTTACTAGCCAGTTACTAATAAAAAACTACACCTTGTATCCTATGGATTTGTCACTTGCAAAAGAGATGTTAAAGCATGCAAATTTACAGCAGCTGCTAGAAAATGCTAAGGCAAAAGCTAGAAAGATTCTAATATGATGGTAGTGTTATAAAGCAGGTAATGGAACAACTTAAGTGGTTGTGAGAACCCCACTGGTGGGAAATTTTCTTTGGCTGGTCCCTCACTGCCACCAGCATCTTCAACATGCTGCTGCACCCTGTAGTAGTTACACTGCTAATGTAAATGTGTGTGTGCTTTGCCACAGTAGCAACCTGTCACTGAATGAGGCAGGTGAAATTCTGCATTGACAACAAGGTGCAAGGACTGAAGTTGGCCAAATGCCTTCTACCACAGTCAAGGGTAAGACTGGGTTGGCCTCTGCATTTGCCACCAAGAAGAACCTTTAGCTCTGCTGCTGGCTGCAACCCAGCAGGTGTTGAGTGGTGGGGACATATGCCATGCCAGACCTTGATGTGAGGTGTGGCCTCCCCTATTCTAAGACAGCCATCCAGGAGGGAAGGGCAGGCCAAGCAGCCTGTCTTTTTCTCAAGAAAGTAAATCTTAATCACTTGTGGCATGGTACAGTGTTTTTTTCTGGTGTTGAAAACAATCCATGATGAGCTATAAAGAATACAAGAGAAACAAAACTAAGCATCAAGTAGAAACAGGGAAATATTTCAGGAAACTTTAAATAAGAATGAAATAGTTGCAAAAGAATTTGCAATAGGACAAGAAAAGGGGGGATTGAAGAATGGATTTGTTTGAAGAGTGGGGTTGATTGCAAATTTGCTGAGGGTGCACTGCATGTCACTGATCTCCATGTGGACATTGAGCTGCTGAGCACTACTCTGGATGAAACCATCCAACCAGTTCCTCATCTGCTGAACAGTTCACTCGTCAAACCTTTATCTTTCCAATTTGGAGAAGAATGCTGGGGAGCACCATGTCAAAGGCCTTACAGGAGTCCAAATAGTTGACATACATAGCTTTTTCCTTGACCACTGATGTAGTCAGTCAATCGTAGGAGGCCACTAGGTTGGTCAGGCAGCACTTGCCTTTGGTGAAGCCATGCTGGCTGTCTCAAATCACCTTCATGTGCCTTAGCATAGTTTCTAGGAGGATCTGTTCTATTGTCTTCACAGGCAGAGAGGTGAGGCCAACAGGTCGGTAGTTCCTAGGGTTCTCCTTTCTACCCTTTTTAAAAATGGGTGCAGTGTTTCCCTTTTTCCAGTCACCGGGGTCTTCACCTGACTCATCCATGCTTGTCTCTTGCATTCCTTTCCTGATTTCTTACATCAGGGGACTGAGATTTCTTGCACTCTATGGAAAATGCCGTTAAAAGAGCCACCTAGTGTGTTCTCTCCCTTGTCCCTGAGGGGAGTTTCCTGGAGGTCCTGTTTGCTAGCTTCTTGAGCAGCAGGAAGTTTGCTTTCCAAAAGTTCAGGGTCCTGAGCTTACTCCTTCCAGGACCTGTATCCCTCAGGACTGTGAACTCCACTGGGCATGGTCACTGAAGCCCAGGCTGCCTCCAATCTTGGTGGCACTGAGAGCCCCAGGAAGGCGTGGATGCACCTGGATGCACCCATTTTCACTTACTATAGATTAGAATGGTAAAGTATTATGTGCTGGTGTGCCGTGTGGGAATTGGTAGGTCCTCAGGCTCCTTTTACAGACGCTGTCTGCTGCCTAAAGCAGTGATACAACAGCTGCTGATTGCTGCTCTGTGCTTCTGCAGTACGTTAGACTGCTGACTTCCCTCATATTTATTTTTTATTTTCCCCCTTTTTGCGTTAATCTTTTAGTTGACCTGTCTCAGTCTTCTTCATACTACAGGTGTTATTGGAGTGGTGGCATGTCTTGGGCATGCTAGGTGGGCTGGGGCAGCAAGTTTCCCTCTTGAGGGAGAAGCTGATTGCTTGTCCTGTGAGCAGGAGCACATTGAAGAATGAATCTGCCCTTGTAATATTACAAAAATTCAGAAGGGGGCCTCAGAGGGATTGCTGGTGTTTGAAAGTTTGTAAATTCCCTTCTGAGCACACAGGGCTGTCCTATTACGCTATGCTGCAAGTGACAGGAGTGCTTAACCTTTGTAGAGGTAAGTAATGAAAAATAAGGGAAGGAGCAGTCAATGACATGCTTAGTAAATCCTGGAGCTCTTGAGGTAACTTTACAACATCAGATAACCATCCCAAGAGATCTGTTTCTCCTTAAATAAAATTGCTTGGTCGTTGTAGTCAGAAGTTTAGGGTTTAATTTAAATGAGCTTTCTAGAAATTTAAGGCTAAAGGTGCTTTGAAAAAAAAAAATTTAAAAAAAAAGGTTGGTTTTTCTTTTTTTTTGGCAGCTGTAAGATCAAGCAAACAACATTTCTGTCTGTAGTGCAGAAACAGGAGTGTCCCTGCAAATGTAAGAAGCAAACCTGTACTGCAGCATGTGTGAACAGCGTGGATGAAATTTTGCATTTACTGATGCTGCAGCATGTGCTTGGACTGTATCAACATTTAAGCAAGGGGGAGGTAGATGAGTGCTTGAAAGAAGTGTAAGAGTACCTTGCAATGACCAGGCCCTCAAGAAGCTTTGGCTTGATTTGTCAGCCCAGGTTGCCTGCAGTATCTTGTCTTCCTTCCAGCCTGTGGGCTTCTTGCTTATTCTTTCTTATCAGACTTGGTTCTTAAGATTCTCCTTTTCTGTGCAATTTCTGAGAGCTGAAAGCCAGCTGACCTATTTTTGTGCAGGTCTTCACTTTACTTTTCCCCTCCTCATGTGAGATTCTCCTTTTATGTGCAATTTCTGAGAGCTGAAAGCCAGCTGACCTATTTCTGTGCAGGTCTTCACTTTACTTTTCCCCTCCTCATGTGAGATTCCTCTACAGGACTGTTGAACCTCTGTTGGAATTACAGTCTTGTAACATAGTGCAGGGCAGTAGCAATGACTACTAACCTCCAATCTTTGACCTCCTTCCAGGGCTTGATAGCATTGCATAAAGGAGAGAGGTTGCAGCTTTATTGTTTCATAGTGCAGTGTCATGCTTGCTCAGATCTTTGCAGTATGTAATATCTGCCAAAAGTAGTGTGGGAGTGGTTTGCCATTACCATGTATTTTTGCCACAGGAAAAAACGTAATTTCTGAGGAAGTGTTGTAATAGCTAAGCCAGAGGGGAGGAGCAGGTAATTTTTTCTAAGACTTCCAGGCATTTGTTTTTGTCCCAAAATCAGGGTTCTTTACGCAATGTGCAGAGAGCCAATTAACACACAGAGTAATGTTTATTTCATGTCTGTGCAGAGGTGGGTGCTAGGTAGTAATTCCACGAAGCCATCACACCCTCAGCCTGCCAGCTGTCCACTTTCACACATTTCAAACACTGTAAGACAGTGTTTTCCATATATGTAACAGTCTGTATCTACAGTCATTTGCTCTTGCATGCTCTTGTCTCTGCTTAAAGATACGGTATATATTTGTCGCACTATGCATGTTCCATGAGTAGGGGTGTCAGTGGGCAAGGGTCTCAGGGGGTGTGATTTTTAGTATTATAATGAAGCAAGTTCCTTTAGGAAGAGAGTTATCTTCTCTTTTGCTAGGCTTTTCAAAATTCCTTCTGCCTTCCTAATCTTTCTGACATCAACTGTTACTTTTCTTCTGATCCAGATGGTTCATTAATTAGTCTTCTACCTCTGCTCAGAGTGTGTGAGCTTTTAAGGAAGCATTGTTATTCCTTGCTACATGAAAATCTAAACTGAAGAATTTCAATCTTTCACACACATAGTCCTTTACAAAATCTTAACTTCTTCATTGCCAGATAGCATCATGATTTGAGGCCATATTCACTCCCAGGTAATTGGTAATCCTGTAATGGATGGAGAAACCCAAAGTAGTCTGGGTGATGACTTTCTTGGCATTCTCTACTGCCAAGAAATCCTTTTCAGTTTGTTTTTTTTTTAAGTATTTAGAGAGTCCTTTGTGCTGATGCCAGGCAGGTTGCTTTGAAATGCTGCAGGAGACTGTCAAAATTGGTTCTGGAGGACAAGAGTAGATGAGATGATGATTTCCCAAATAATTTTGCTGTTGTGGTGATTGTTGTTTTTTTTCCTAGCGCTGATCTACAAGTTAATAATGTCTGAGAGGTACATTTTAGTCGTCTTTTTGATCATACCCTTTTCTTCCAGTGCAGCTGGGAGCATAGCTGTTCCTGCTTCAGGATGGAGGTAAAAGGAAACAAGTACCACAGCCATATCTTCAAATTAATTGTGACTGTCAGCAGGATGAACTGTTAAGCTAACCCCAAATTTGAATTAAACTTATTTTTAACTGACAGACTTCTGAGACTATTTTGTCCTCAAGGTTAGATTTGGTCAAACCCAGGCTAGGACACCATGCCACACAAGTTACAAATGTTAGTTGGGGTTAGTTACAGAAAGTGAACTTTGCTATTTTGACTCACGCTTCTTTGAGAGCTTTGATACTCTTCTGCTTCAATGTGAAGATTCCAAGATTTCAGGTATCACTACCAGTTTGTCAGCTTCCAGTCAGATTCCCTCAATTTTTCAGACTTCTCTGCCCTCTCTTTTATACCTGACCTTCCTTTCCAGTTGCTAGTATCTACTATGGGATCCCAGTTTTCACCTTTATTCTTGGATAACTTGGTGCCCTAGTCCAAGGGACAAGGAGAGTTTGACGAACATCAGAATAAGTGCTGCCTTGGACTTCGATTTCAGTAAAACCTTTAAGGGTTCTTTTATAAGAATACCAGGCAGAAGTGCACCACCTTGGTTTTTTTTGTATTTTTTTGTTTTTGTGTTTTTGTTTGTTGGGTCTGTTGGTTTTTTGTTTTGGGTTTTTTATTGTTTTTTTTTGGGGGGGGGGGTGTTTTGTTTTTTTTTTTTTCTGGGAATTGCTAGACGTTAATTATTTTTTAAATAATATTTTTATCACGTTCATGGACTGTCCTTAAATTTTTACTGCCTTTTTGCTGTAGTGATTCTAATAGTCTATGAAACACTTTATACTGAAAATGTATCACTCAAACCCACTGATAACAAAGTAGCTTTTCAGGGCAGTGATTACTGCCCTTGGAGCTGGGATGATGGCTGTCCGGTAATGCTTCTACTGGACCCCACAAAATTTGCATTACTGCTGTTTATGCTTCAGAGTTCCTTAATATGCTTAAGCAACATAGTTCTTACCAGTTCTTATGATTTTATGTCTAAACATACTAAATAATTCTTTGTTTGTTAACCTGGAAATTAGTTTGTGAATCCATTCATCAAGCATGTGGCTGTGTTCTGTTTGGGGCTTTTTGTTTTATAGCCTGAATAAAATATCCCTAGTCTTGAAGCAGGGTGAGAAGAGGTCAGCAGAAAATTTGTCCTGTTCCCAAAGTTAGGCCTAAATGTAATAAAAAATGTTCAGTGAAGTCAGTATTTCCATATTGTTTGTAGGAGGGGTCACTGCTCTGCTGAAAAACCTGTGTATCACAAAAAGGATAAATTTTTCATAGGGGTACAAATGGCACATCGGCCCATGGCTGCCAGCCTAGCCAGCATCCCTTGTTCCTTCTCCCCATTCCCTTGTTGTTCCTGTCTGGAGCACTTTGGGCCTCTGTGTCTGAACGCAGGACACAATGCTAGGACAAATCCCTCTTAAGTGCTTGTGGGAATAAGCTGGAGAGACGGATTGCGTTTGTGTTACTCTGAACTCCTTTTGCTCCTGTAAGCCCCTTTCCTGAGTTTACTTTGTTGTTGCTTCAGTGTTGCAGCATCTTTTGTTACTGATAAGTACCGTTGACACCAAAGTAAATGAACCGTGGCGAGAAGTGGGAAGTTCCGGGGGAGTGCCACCTGCGTTGGTTCTTTTAATGTTTTCAGGTCAGATGGCAATTGTTGCAGATAAGTTTTCTGTGGCACTGATTCTTGTAATTGTATGTGGGACATGAGGAATGCTGATTTTGCTTGCTGACATAATTAATGACAGAGGCTTAGACAATAAGCTTGATGACATTTCTTTCACTTTGTGAAAGACCTACATCTCCCGATATGGGTAGTTTCCTCAAAGCAGGAAACCCTTCACCTCTGCTGTGTTTGTTTCTCGCTAGGAAACTGTTGTAGGTATATAGTTAAAAAATTGTACCTGAGTAACACTGGCTCATCACAGAAAACGGAGAGCTTGCCCTGTTCTCCCTGGTCCTTTCGTGTGAGTCTTTAAAGAGTTTTTCTTATTTTTATTAGGTCTCTGTTCCTAATTAGTATTTTTGTCTTCAGGTTTTTTTTTGTAGTTAAGCGATGCTAAGTGTGGGTCTGTTTACACTTCTCACCCTTCACATTCTACTTGAATACTTTCACAAGAAAAATGGGAGCTGAAGACCGCCCCTGAGCAAAGTTTTCTCTCCTGCCACATGCCCGATTGCAACACAATTGAGGCAAAATGCCAGAGCTTTCTACTGTTGCTTAAGGAGGCTCTGCAATGCACAGAGATCCCAGCATACAGAAGGCATAGCCACACGAGCTCTGATCCTTTGGTGCGTGCCCTGGGAACAGTAAAGATGTCAGAGCATACACGAGTGGTGTACGTATGGATCATTTCGCTGTGCTAAATGATGGATTGAATGACTTATTTTATATTCATTTTTAATAAAATATTTTTTCCTCGGTGGCAGAAGATTCTTTAGAATTTTAGGGCTTGGCTGATAAAATGTGATTTGAAGAAGCTTCTGCTCCAGAGAATAGCCTTGGTCTACAGACTGCAGTATTTTGTGGTTTCTAGGACTGTGGGTTTTGTATATTTAGCTTGGCATATTGCAGAGCATTCCAGCAACTGTCTGGACACTGAATTTGAGCAGTCTGTAAGGATGATCTCAGATTTTAGTAGGAGAAAGATGAATCCTGCTGGGTGTGTCCTGTGCCAGGTTTACAAAGGTTTACACTTGCTCCTGGGGAAATGGAAGGAGGACAGTGCCTGCTCAGTTGATAAAAGCAGATGTTCTCTTTTTGGAGGTGTGACTGCAAGAGTCCAGCTGCCAATTGACGGTTGGTCAGAAAGTTACTGACTGGCCTTGTCAGCAGAAGACAGTTTTCCACTTGTCTGCTCTAAATGTTAGTAATAGGTGAAATTGTGTGTTGAAACAATAATGCAAAGAGAAAAGAGGATTATATTTGAAAATCTGTTAATCAGTAGAGGGTTTCTTTTGTATTAAGAACAAGTTGAAATTCTGCTATTGTGTATCTTAGTTACTTTATAACTAAATATTACAATGGTAGCTATAATGATAAGCAATTAACATAGCCATATATGGGGAAGGGTATATGGGTGGATCCAGGGGAGTATTGTGAAACTCTACCGAAGCAGAACTCACGAAGGTACCAGGAGTAGTCAAGTGAAAATAAGAGAATGCTGTCGTCCACATAATGGTTGGGACATGTCCAAGAAACAGAAAAGTGAACAGGATGACCTGAGGAAGACTTCTTACTTCATCCGAGGAAGACTCCTTACTTCATCAGGACGACCACCAGAGGGGGGCTGCGCAAGCGCAGAAGAGGCTGATGTGGCAATCCTTGATGCATATGTATTAGTCAGTGATGTAATCTGTGTTGAATATGTATTAGTGATGACATTTTTATTGTATAAATTGCGAGCGCAATGTAACAGGGTTGAAGCCAGATTTGGGCGCGTGCCCCTGGTTTCCCAGCGCTGCAATAAAGCACTTCATATAACCATTCCGGTGGTTATGTGTCAGTTCTTACGCTAACATAAGTATAAACTTCTCTTTCTTTGCCCGTGTTGATGTGCTTGCTTCTAGAAGGAAAAAGGGATTGTGATGGTAAAACAAATGCAAGTCGTTAGTTTGTTTCCATTGTGTATGGAAAATGCTGGTGACTGTTTCTCCCAGTTCCAAGCCCTAAGCTTGGCAACTGGAGAAGCATTTCAATGCATGGGGCATCATAGAAAGAAGTCTTACCTTTGCATTTCTCACTTGCACTTTGATTCAAGCTTGTAAAAGTTTAGATTCAGTACTCATCCCATTTGAGTGGGGAAAAAGTAAGTTTAAGTGTTTTATTTTTCTTCCTTACAGGATTTTTTTTTCCTCCTTAAACTAGATTTTTCCTCTTCAATTTTGTTAGAATGGGAGCTGTACATCTTGCTGGGGCTGACTTCCCACACCAGGGCTTGCTGCCAGCAGGCAGGGAGGTTGGGCAGGTCACAGGAAACTCTGGGTTAGTTGGGCGATGAGGGGGCTTTTCTGATTTTGTCTTGATCCAGTAAAACTTCCACAGGATGGAAGGAGAGGCTGTCTTGTGTAATGGTATGTTATCAAGATACTGCTTGGATTCATAAAGTCTAAACAACCCTTCTGAGCAGACTAGCATCTTTGGAGGTTTCTGACAAGCACTCTTTGGCTGTGGTGTTTGTTGCACAGGATGGTTACTGCCAAGGTATGGGTTCTGAAGAAGCATTTTGAGGGTTTCCCCCAAACCAGCGACTTCGACCTGAAAAAGATAGAGCTGCCAAACCTAAAGGATGGAGGTAAGTGGATGCTGTGTGGTTTTACTTATTCTGGAGGTTGTCTGATTGCTGAGGAATGGCTTTGCATCTGCACAACTGTTTGTTTCTCTGGCTTAGATTTTCAAAAATGGGTTGTCATGCTTTTTGGCAAGCCCTGTACCTCAGCAGAGAAGGGCAGTTGCTCAAGAACATGTATGCTGCTGTGTTTGGTGACTTTTAAAACACACTGCCTTGTGATAACATTCTTACCTCCATCATGCTGCAGCTGCAGTGTGCTCTTCGCAGTCTCACACTGCCTAATCGCATGTAGTGCCCGATGGCAAAAGCATTTTAATGTGTTTGCAAATAAGGCTTACTGGAGAAAATTACTGAAGTGATAATTGCTGAAGCAATATGCCCTCAAAACCAACAGCCACAAGGAAACAGTATTTGTTTAATTTAGAAAGAGGGAAGTGAACTGTGACACAGAGCAAATGAAGAGCTAACTGTAGTAAAACCTAAACATGCTTTTACTGGTGAAAGATTTTAATCTATTTTGCAAAATCCTTTAGAGAATGTTGAAGAAGATAGCCTCCAGATGCAGGCTTTCATTGGAGTTTTTCATGCTGATAGGGAAGGAATTGAGGATAGTGCTGGGGCACAGCAGAGTGACTGGGGTGAGAATGAATCTGTGGCTGGAAGGCCTTGGGGCTGGAGTCAGTTTGGGCTGATCTTTCATTTTAAGAAGCAAAAAGGCAAGACTTCTGTCTGCATTTAACACCTATTTTATTGCTAGTGTTTATCTATTACATTTGACCTGTTGTGACAGCAAGAGAAAGTGAATAAAGAGGAAAAAAATGCACAGGTTTTATCCTGTGTTTCTCTCTTTTGAAAAGAGTAGGGAATATCATAACATTTTATGCAAGAGCTTTTGATTAAAGAATAAACCTAGATTTTGTCTTCACATGGACACAAGTGATTTGGCTTCACATGGACACATACGATGCTGTCTTGACCCTTACCCACCATTTGTCCTTTACAAAATTTACCCCGGTTCATAAGGTGCACCAAAGAATTAGTTACGTTTACAGCTTAAAGGTTTGAAAGGTGATTTCTTCTTACATATGCTTTCAAGTCTTTTCATAGCATGTGTACTTCTAAATTTTGTGCCTGTGGGTATTTAAGAATATGGAATAGTATCTTCCTTCCCATTTTAATCCCTACAGCAAGAAGAGCATAACTTCATACTAGAGTAACACTTCTAAGGGAGATAGCCTTTCTTGTTATGCTACGTGGCCTTGACTGTTCTTCAATCTCACACTGAGAAATGGGGAAATATTTATATCTGACTATATTTCTAGCTTGTACTAGCTAGACTACTTCAGCACAGGCAATGGAAAGTAGTATTGGGTGGAGAGGAATAGCTAAAACTGCTGTGTGAATGAGCATGTAAAATTTACAGTATAATTTCCAAAAACTAGAGACATTAGTGTGCATTAGGCAATCTAGCAGAGGCTTTCCATTAAGGCGGCAAAGCAGTGTTTATATTCGACCTGTGCCAGGGTTTCTTACTACCCTCTTCTGGTTGAATCATGGGAAGGCATTTTGTATATGGGTCAAAAGTAAGCTGGTGCCTTCCTTAGGGGGTCTAGCCTCTTGAGCCATCTATAGAGTAAGGAGGCAGATAAACAGAGTTGAAAAGAAGATAGCCTCCTGAAGAGATATTATATAAAGTGGTTTTTGTAACAGCACAGTGATAATCCAGAGAAAGCTAATGAATGTAGTGGTTGTTTCTGGTAGCTTTTTCCCTAAAGGATGACAGGGTATGTGTGTTTTGGGGTGTCAGGAATTCCTGTCACTTTGTTGGAAGACTGACTTGTGGAAACCATGCTTTATTGTACTGCTGATGCCCAGGAATTTGCTTTGTCTTTTGTTACAGAGTTGCTGCTTGAATCAGTGTTTCTCAGTGTTGATCCTTACATGAGGTATATCTTTCTTATTTTTAAATTGCTGCCTAAGGTTACCTCATTTATCTCCCACTTAAACATCAAAAGAAATTGTACCAGGAGTAGCCTCTGTTGTCAGAGCCCCAGATGTCATCTGTGTTTTTTTTATAAAATGTGTGTAAATTACAAGACTCCCAATGTAGAGCTGTGCCAGATTTAGCGAGACATTACAATAACAATGCTGCAGCCCTAGACTTTTCTTGGACTCTGCTGTTCCTTGTCTTGTCTCTTCTACTGGAATGCAAAAGGGTCAGATGAGACTGCAGCTGTTTTGCAGTAGGTGCTTCATTTACCTTAGCAACCTTGTACTTCAGGATACATGTTCTAAGTAGAAAATTGCTGATATGCCCACATTACTAGGTGATAGTTCAAGCACAGGGAGATTGGGTAGTTTGGAGAAGCCTGGTAGACCCTAGTATCAGAGATAGTTCTTTGCAGTCCCAACCTTCTTGTAGTGATGGACCACGCTATTTTATCACCAATGCTCTAGCCCAGTATTTGGTCAAGATGGAATGCTAAGTAGCTGGCTATGGAGAACATCCAGTTATGTCTTTACAATGGCAAAGTCTTTGCGATCATCAGCTTACTATTTATGATCTCTTTCTGAATCAGACAGTGCTACTACTATATGTGGAACATCATTAAAAGTTGTTTACAGTAAGTCATCTCTGCCTGTGTTACAGACCTTACAGTCGAAGGGTCATGAAGGAAGGGGACATAATGATAGGCACACAGGTTGCCAGGTAAGATCTTCAGTTCTTGCTATCCTTACATATGGCAGATCTCGGAGGAATATAATGACATCTGAGCCATCTGCAGTCTTCATTACCTATTCTTGACTTGAGTGTACGTATTTCTGCAACTGTATTCTTGTCTGTAATTGGTTGGAATGTGTTTTTCCTCTGAGAACCTCTTTTGCCTTCTTGGAGATCATTTAGATCTCTGACACAATCTATATGTTATTTCTGGTGATAAAGTTTTCAAAGGATTTTTTTTTCAAGCAGAGGTGTGAAGGACTGACCACTGTACTTGCTGTAAGTGTCAACTTCACATTTTAAAATCTGATGCGCTAGTTAAATTGCATTCCCAAAACCATGCATGCTATCTGCTCCAGCTGAGAAAGTTCAGTGTTGCCTAAGACACAGCTGTAGCCAAAGGGTTATCTAATTGCATTTTTATTTATTTTTTATTTAAAGGTTAAATCCATCCTTTCCCAAGCTTGTGGTAATTCAGCTACACAGATGTTCCCTTTGTCAGTCTTTTCCTGCTGTGCTGCCTATAAGTTGCTGCTCAGTAAAACCTGTGGCCTTTGACTCTTGTGTTTCTCTGCAGGAACACTGATGGCTGGGATAAATTAACCAAGTCTGCTGAACAGAAGGCCAACTGTTCCCATTATTTCAAAGCTTCTTACCTACCCTTTCACAATGTAGTTTTCTTGTTGGGCTAAGAAAGTTGAATTTTTATTTGGCATAGAGACACCACAAGTATGAATTTCTCCCTGTTATTAGATACTGTTTTCTGTCTGGTTTTGTTACTCCGAGAGGTTCCATCTTCAGGATCTTCAACATTTAAATGAGGTGCAGATTGTCTGAGAAGGTGACTGCTTATTACAGCCTATCTGTAACGTCTTGCTTTTCCACTGTTTAATCCTAGCATCCTCTTTTCTGTCTTCTAGCTCACATTAGCCTAGCCTGAATTCATACTGGACTGGTGTTAAAAAAGTTACATCCATGTGGGAACATTCAATTCATTATGGGCAAGGCTGAGGCTAAAATCATCTTGCCTGGTATCTGTCTGGTGGTGAAGGGTACTAGCTAAATGTCCTGATATGAAGTATTTCTTTTCTGCTACATGACAGGTCAATAGGAATAAAGGAGGGAAGAGCCAGTAATGATTTGTCCCTGACAGGGTATTCTTTTTTTCATTTTTTTCTTCTAAACAGGATTGTAGAAAGCAAGAATCCTGCTTTCACAGTGGGGGTCTTTGTTGTGGCTAAAAGTGGCTGGAGAACCCATTTCATCTCTGATGGGAAAGACCTACAAGCCCTTCCTTCTGGTTGGCCAGAATCGCTCCCCGTATCTCTAGCTCTTGGGACGATTGGCATGCCAGGGTGAGTTTTGACATGCAAAGGCAACTATCCCCTGGATTTTGCTGGGCAGAATGTTTCTGCCTGCCTGTATGTCCCTTGTCTTGTTTTACCAGCATGTTGTCCACTCACTCTGGTAAAAAATGTGTGCTTTGGGATGCCCTTTCCCTGAGAGGGCCTGAAATTTGGCCTATCCCCTAGGTTGGAGATTTGCCTTGCAGATTATGGTGCCTTTCCTTAAGGAGTTGCAATAAGGTAGAAGGAGGATCCAGGAGAGGCTGGAAAGAATCTGTTTCAGTCTGTAGTGTGCTTTTTAGTAAAGCTTCATCTAAACTTTAGTAGTTCCTACAGATTACTATTGACTGAGGAATGATAGCTGTGCACAGCAGTCGTCAGGAGCAGTGTGCCCATCAGTTCAGCCAAGTTTTGCCACCATTTTTTGATGTGATATATGATGGGTATCATTTAATCATTGCCTCAGTCTGGTAGATACCAGCAGGCTACTGTCCTGTGTCTAGCTTGGATTTACTTTTTCTTAGAGTGGGTAATTGAGTTGTCACCTTACAGCATTCTCTTTGTGTTTCTCCTTTTGGCTAGTAAGGAAAGCTATTTTCATCTAAGGTAGAGTTCTGACACAGCATCCTGTTTCCCTGTAGTGTATCTGGGTTTGGTTTTTCTTCCTGGGATGGCCATAAAAAAGACAAATTAAGAAGGTTGGGTTAATTTTTGCATTTCATAAAGAATGAGGAAAACAAAATCTTAATATGTTTGTGATGATATTTTAGTCCACTGTGGCCAAGTCACATCTCTTCTGTCTGGCATCTTTTATTTCTTACTGAACATTCTTTCTTTTCCTTCACAGCCTCACTGCATACTTTGGTCTGCTGGAGGTCTGCAAGATGAAGCCAGGGGAGACAGTGCTGGTTAATGCTGCAGCTGGTGCTGTGGGCTCTGTGGTGGGTCAGCTTGCTAAGATTGGGGTGAGTTGCTTGGAAAGCTCACCTGGTAGGCAGGGGAAGAATGAATGATCAGGAGGGAAATCATCCCTGAAAGCATGCCTGCAGTAAGATATTGAGATGGGACAAGCCTCTGAATACGTATCAAAGCTAGTTGAATGTTTTCTAGAGCTTAGGAACTTGTATGGTGATGATAGGCTTACCTTTAGGGTGAGCCCTCTGCCCAGTACTCTGTGTCAGCCTGTCTTGGGAGCAGACGTTTAGAAATGCTTCTCTCCTTTCCTTGCAGGGTTGCAAAGTTGTTGGCTGTGCTGGCTCAGATGACAAGGTTGCGTATCTGAAAAAAATAGGCTTTGATGAAGCCTTTAATTACAAGACTGTTACATCTCTGGATGAAGCACTACGTAAAGCCTCTCCTGATGGCTATGACTGTTTCTTTGACAACGTGAGTTCAGAGAGAGGGCCTTGCCCTGAGCAGACTGTCATTTGAGTTAAACTATAGCAGGAATTCAATGTTCTATACATCTAATTGAAGACTGTAACAGAAACATGGTACTGAATTCCATCTGATTGAGAAATGGTCTCTGCTTACTCCTCTTACGGGGTGACCGGTAGAGGGTTTCTGACCTCTCCCAAGTACAGCTAGAGTTAACATGGACTGTGGACTGTTTGAGTTAGCTGTTTGAATGTGACCATCTTGTTTGGGAAGCTAAGAGAGTTTCACAGTGAGGATGCAGTCAAACCATGTCAGTTTGCCTTCAAGACAGAGAACAAGCCCTGGCTTTTCTGATTTCTTAGCATAGCTAACGTGCATTATAACTGGTAATACAATACCTGGCACAGGAGTATTAGCTGAGATACTGACCTAAAACTGCCTACCTAGCTACCTGATTTAAAAGGGCAGGCATCATTGTTCCTTGTCTGTCTCTCAGCACTCTGTCTGCTGATGCAGGGATGAGGTCCTTGTGATTCTGTGTGGATTGCAAAGCACCCACATTGGCAGTTGTGAATGCATGGTGTCAGGACAAAGTGCTTGCCCATGTGGGAGGAGCTCCTGGTTGCTTTGCCTTACTTACCCTTCCAAATTTCATGTCTTGTGCTGCTAAGGTCTTAAATCAGTTTTATGATCATGTCTGCTTCCTTCCCTCTCACTTCCAACTTTTGTGCAGAGCTATCCCCAGCAGTAAATGTTCTCACAGTTTTTCTCCATTAAAAGCTTCTGAGCACAGCACAAGAGAATCATGAAGTAAAAACTTTACGTCACCATGATGTAAAGAAATAAAAGTGCAGAATGGTGTGGACGAAAAGCAGAGGTGGTCCTTTCTAATAACCCTAGATGTGCCCCTCAGGAGGAAGGATCCTGGCAATTTTGTGAAGCAAACTCAGAACTAAAACAAATTCCCTGTGTTCATAACTAATTTTTACAAGAGTGGGATTGCATCTATAGGTGCTGACTAACTGTAAGAATTTCTGCAGCTACTGAGCTTTTGAAGTAGTGGAACTTCCATCTCCACCACTTGACTGAACCTGTTGGTGCAACAATGCAAGATTGGCAATCAGTGCCTAACGTTGGATTGTCTCTAATGCTGTACACACTTTGGATCCTGTAGGTGGGTGGAGAATTTGCCAGTGTTGCTATCAACCAGATGAAGAAATATGGAAGGATTGCAGTCTGCGGAGCCATCTCTCAGTACAATGACTCTGTGCCTCAGAAAGGTGTGGGCCTGCTTTCTCATGTTTAAATTTATTTCGTTTGGTGATGGTAGAGAGAAAGTTGTAATGGGAGTCTCTTAAGGTTTTATTGGTTGTTTCTGCATACTATTTGAGTGTATGCATGTCTGTACGTTTGGGTAGCTAACTAACCACTGCTCTGGGATGGTGCGAGTGTTAACACACTGTGTGTACATGCACTCATACTCCTTTGTACACACTTGTATCAGATGGAGAACATCAGCTGATTAGAAATGAAGGAGAGACTAAACTGTTTAAAACAGAACTCCCCAAGGCTCTAAGCAGATACAGATTAGTAGAAGGCAGGTGTAGTTGCATGATGCCATATACACAGTACATACTTTTAGACAGCAGAATGGATATCCCTCAGGTTTTTAAATGAGGCAGTTTAGGGTTGGGATTTGTTGTTGATTATTGGTTTGGTTTGCTGTTTTTTTATTTATTTATTTATTTGTTGGGGTGGTTTTTTTTTGGGGGGGGTATTAGTTTTGGATTTTGGGGGAGGATTTTTTTGGTTTTGTAGGATTTCAGCTACCGTTAAAACTGTTGGGAAATGAGGCTGAGATGAATATTCACTTTCAATAGCATTAGGTTTTCCAAATTTGCCTTCCAGAAGACATACGTGGTCTGAATTCTCTTTGACAACTGACTGACTTTAGTTGGCCATACCACTTTAAAAATGGGACAGGCTTTTGAGAGTGGGGACACTGCTGCACATTTCATGACTGAGGGAAGAACTTTTTTTTTAATGTGTTTAACTTTTTTGATACTTAAGAGGAGCATGAGAGCGTGGCAAACTATCAAACAAGCTGCCAAAACAGTATTTCCAGGATCTACCTGTAGCCCCTCAGGTGAAGCTGAGGTCACTGCAGAATGAAACTTTTCAGAACTATTGGGTGTTTAGCCCCACAGCTTTACAGATTAGGCCTGTTTCCTGGAAGCTGTCTGTCCATGAATTCTTGGTCTTTTGTCCTGGAAATTCTGTTTGGAAAAAACAGCAGTTGGCTCTGCCTGGAACGACGTGATTCAGTGTTCTGTATGTGCTAATAGCTTGCTTTATTCATTGGTTCTTATTTTAAATGAAACTTACTGCAGGTGGTTTGCTCATTCCTTTCTCTTGCAGGGCCTTATGTGCAGATGCCAATGATCTTCAAAGAACTTCAAATGGAAGGGTTTCTTGTGACCAGCTGGAATAACCGCTGGGAGGAAGGTCTGAAGGCACTGCTAAAGTGGGTCATGGAGGTAAGGAAGGAAGGTGTAGGTTTTTGTTAGGTGTACTCTCTCCATAGCTTCCCTCTTTGCAAGGGGTCTCTTGTCATAGCTGATGAGGTGAGGCTCCAGCGTGATACTTTTCTTCCACCTGACTTGATCTTTGAACCTTCTGGGGACAGTCGAACCATAGTGAACATACCTGATCCCTTCTGCTTTGTTGAGACCTGCAATATTAGCTTGTAGACTTAGATATATTCCAGAATACACGTAAGCTTTGAAAAAGGATGCTGCCAGAGTAATTCAAAACACTTCTGTGGCAATGGAGAGTTTCCTTTTTAGAGTAATTCCTCTATCCCATTCCAAGAACAAATACAGACTGGGTAGAGAATGGATTGAGAGCACCCCTAGGGAGAAGGACTTGGGTTGTTGGTTGCTGAGAAGCTCAACATGAGCCGACAGTGTGCGCTTGCAGCCCATTAAGCTGTGTTCTGGGCTGCATGAAAAGTAGCGTGACCAGCAGGTTGAGGGAGGTGATCCTGCCCCTCTGCTGTGGTGAGACCCCACCTGCAGTACTGCATTCAGCTCTGGGGCACTCAACACAAGGGAGACATGGACCTGCTGGAGTGTGAGTCCAGAGGAGGACATGAAGATGATCAGAGGGCCAGAGCACCTATGGAGATAGGCTGAGAGAATTGGGCTTGTCCACCCTGGGGAAGAAAAGGCTTTGGACAGACCTTAGAGCAGCCTTTCAGTACCTAAAGGGGGCCTAGAGAAAAGCTCGAGAGGGACATGGGGAGGTAGTGATGAGACATTACAAGGGCATGTAATGATGAGACAAGGGGAATGGCTTTAAACTGAAAGAGGGTAGATTTAGATTAGATATTAGGAAGAAATTCTTTACTGTGAGGGTGGTGAGCACTGGAGCATGTTGTCCAGAGAAGCTGTGGATCCGTGGCAGTGTTCAGGGACAGGTTGAATGGGGCTTTGAGCTACCTGGTCGAGTGGACGGTGTCCCTGCCCTGCCATGGGCAGGGGGGTTGGACTAGATGATCTTTAAGGTTCCTTCCGACCCAAACCATTCTGTGATTGTATTTCTCATTCAGAAGTCCTCTTTCATTTGTAGTATGAGCAGGGATTTCCATTGTAGTGGTGCACTGAAATTACTGTCAAGAATGGATGTTTTTAATGTAATTGGGAGCTTGTCTTTAAAGGGACTTCATAGGGAATTTGCTAAATTTTACTTCTCTAAATGGGGGCTGAGTTTAATACTTGGTTCATGGCTGTGAAAAGCTTGTGAGTTTTAACACTAAAGCCTAAAAAGCTCTAACTGAGTATTTTGGATGGCTTGGCTTTTGATCACTTGGATTTGCAATTCCATGCTTCCCTAAGGGTAGAGACAGGCCTTGCTTTGGGGAAATAATCCCCTAGCTGTACATTGTTTGGAGACCAAGTAGCACTGTATCTGTCCTGGTGTGTTTTTTATAGTAGTGACTTTTGCTCCCTGTTATAACTCCAAGTAGGAGGTCTTGCAAGAAAAGCAGGTCCTCACAATAGCCTAACAACAGCCTACCTGCTTTTGAGAAGTTACCCTGGTGCATGCCAGCTTGCATGTTTCAGATGACACATACAAGCTGGAGGAAATTTGGTTGCACTTTAGTCTCCTGGAGATGGTAAAAACTAGGCAGCTGGTGAATGAAAACTCGGCAATTTGCTTTCTTACTTTTGACAGGGAAAGGTGAAGTGCCACGAACAAGTCACTGAAGGATTTGAGAACATGCCAGCAGCTTTCATTGGAATGTTAAAAGGAGAAAATCTTGGAAAAGCTGTTGTAAAAGTCTGAAGGTCACATTCCTGGGGACTGGCAGAGGAGAATGATTCTGTTAAGGGCTTTTAACTCATTGATCGAAATGTACGTTTCAGTCTTTTTGCTGGAATTTGGCGATAACTTCTGTTAATTGGACTAATAAATGTAAGTATATGTCAGTTGATTTGCTCTTGAAGAACTTGAGAGCTGCTTCCCAAAGCTACATAAAAGTATTGCCTTAAAACAGCTGAACTTCATCAGAGCTTTAACAGATTTACTAGAAACTTGAACCTTTTCTATGAGTCAGAATTGCTTTTCCTTTCTACAGGCCAAAAGCTTTGCGAGCTGATGGCATGTATCATGACTATGTTTAACCATTGATTTTGCCCAGAACTCAGCAAGAGGGATTTTTAAAAATCAATATCATGGAGCAGAGAACAGGTTAATAACACCTGGGGGTTCCCATCTTCCTCTATGGATGGCTTTTCTTAACTTTCATAAGGAAATGTAGGTATCCTGGTTCTTTTGAGATATGGAAACTAAAAAAAATAAATCTGTTAATGAATACTTTGCTTGTGTTACTGTTCTGTTTGTGGAATGCCCTCCTGTTCTCTTCCTTGCAGTTAACACAGAGTGGCTAAGATATTACAAGCACTTATTTATGCCAGTAGATCTCACAGAACAGGTGATCTTATTGATGGATTGGTCACTTATTGATGGATAACTGATGGATAGGTCACTTATTTTCTCGAGTAATTTGGCCATTGGGGACCAAGCTTAGAGTTGACCTTGCTGTGATGTTCAGCCTGGCAGTCATGGAAGATGAGATCAGTATGCTGGCCCTAGCTGTGCTAAATTGGTGTCCAGCACCCAGGTGATGCTGAGTAAAGGAGACACAGGCATTAGCAACAATAAATATCTTAGATGTATTGAAAAAGCGGGAAAAAGAACTTGTTATGGAATACAGACAAGTATTGAGTGTCATGGTGGCCCATCTTCAAACACTGTGGAGGACTCCTTGGTTAATTTTTAGGTCTCGTCTGTGAAGAAGTGTCCTAAGTGGCCTTAATGTCTCTGTAATGTCAGGATTAGATGCTCTTGTCTGTCAACAAGAAGAGGTCACTTACTTACTGAAGATGTAGATCAACTAATACTTGCTAAGAGGACTGAAAAAAAGTACTGTCCTTAAATACAGGTTGACTGGCCACTGGTGAAATAATGCATCTTGGCACAAGTAGAGGAGAGCTTCTGGTTGTTTATAGGGTTTTCTGAGCAGAATTACTTGCCAGTTTGCGTTAGCTCCAGTGCTGTGCTTTTCAGCCAGGCTCTGAGAAAGATCTGTGGATTAATACTGCTGCACATCATGGAAAATGGTAAACCAGAAAAGGGAGTTTATTGTCAGTCGGCTGTGGAACCTGTGTCGAGGTCTGCTGTTGTTTGGTGGCTTTTTACTGAGACATTTTCAGAGGGCTTGCAAGTCCTAAAATACTGAGTCAGTTTTGGTCAGTACTGTGCAGTCCAGCCTGTTCTCCAGCCAGTTGCACAAGGCCTGTGAGAAAATGCTGGCTGCCATCACCCTTCCAATGACATTATCACTCTGCAGCTGACCTTAAGGGCTTTCTGGGAAGGGGTGAGCACTTGGTGGTTCCAGAGGCTGTCAGAAGGTGTGCAAGGGATTATCTGTGGCTAGGTTCCCTTTGGCACTGCAGCAGTCCTCCATTGCATGCATCTTCAAAGGTGTCGGCTTTGTCCAGAGTGCAATGCCCATTCCTCAGTGGTCCTGGGGCTGTGCTTGTAGTCATCTCTGGTTTTCTTGTGCTGCTTTTTTCTGGTCTGGCATGTCTGTGCCATTGCACAAGCAAGTAAGCTTGACAGTGGGATTTCTGAAGCCATTTAGGATCCCAGTTCATTGAGGATGTAATAGATGAAAGCAAAAGGAGTTTAAAACAGTCTTAAATGTAAACAGCTGCAGGCTTCATCCTCTGTGGGCTAAATAGCTCATTTGTATGTGTTATTTCTAGAGTAGTGGTTTAACCACTTGATGCCTTATGCCTGACTATGCAAAATGAAACAGGCTGTAGATTAGAGGTGCTCCAGCCTAATAAATATTGCAACTTTTGTGTCCTGTTCCTAAGCAAATTGAAGCTGGTACTCGGGGCAATAACCTGCCTGAGCTTAGGACACAGCGGGGACCAGCCTTTAGAAGTTCACCATAGTCTGCCACACCAAGGGTGGTCTCAGGAAGCCCCAGGAGTTGATGCAAAGAACTGTGATTGCTGAAACCGAGGAGCTATTCCAGGGGTGCACTGCTGCCTGCTGAGCTTCTCTCACCATCCTCCAGGGTGGGTGGCCACAGGAGGGGTCAGGACAACACAACCCAGCCGCAGCACCCATTCTCATAGGAGCCCTGTTCCCAGATGAGTGAAATCCAGTCATAACCCCCCCAGCACCTCTGATGCAGCCTGTATGGAAGTGAGCAAGACATACCTTAGATCCTTTGCTCTTACTTTGCTCCCCCACCCCCTGACTGGCTGTTCATCTCTTATACCCCCACCCAGCTAGACTGCAACAGCTCCAAGCAGGTTCCTCAAAGCTTAGCTTGCTGCTGGCCTTTAATTACAGTGTGGGAATATACCTCATGTTCCTGTCCTCAGCCTCTTGTAACTAGCTGTACAGGGACTCCAGTTCCTACTAAGCTTGAAAGTGTTTGGGGCTGTTCTGCTAAGTGGTGCTAAAACTGACTATTGCATTTCTGTTGTCAGAAAGCTTCACAGTTCCGACGTCTGTTTATGGTGCCAGGCCTTGCTCTTCTTCCAGGCTTCCCTCTCAGAGGGGCTAGAAAGAGAGCAAATAAAAGTGAGAAACAGACTTTAATTGCTGCCTTGAGGAAATGTCATGGACTGACTCCAGTGGAGGGCAGATGGCCCAAGCCTGTCCTAAAACTTCCTCTATGGATACAGTTGGATCCAATGCCTGGCTTCTCCCCACCCTAGCGTCTGTTCACACCTCTGCCACCCACCCCAGATGTTCCCATTCCTGGAGGCCAGGCAGATGGTGGCACCTGGAAACCTACCCCCCAGGCATTCTTCTCCAGCCCATTACCTAGAGATAGATGCCACCATCACTTGGTGCTGTCAGAGAGGTAAAAGCGTCTCCAGAGCCAGGGTGTGTATAACGCATGTATGGGCAGTCACTGCCACCTTGTGGAGATTAGCAGACTTGTGTCCCAGCTGCAGGTAGAGAGAAAGCTTCAGGCAGCTCCCATGCATCCTTCACCTTTCTCTGTCTACCAACCTGGACCAACCCAGCTTTCCCTCTCCAACGGAGTTAAAAATGCATTTCATATGGGTGTGTTTCTCTGACATCTCCACAAGACCGTTTCAAGTTCCTCAAACTCATCTAGTTGATCCTTACCAAAGCTGGAGGCATCGGGCTGGTTATGCTTCTTGCCTGCATGAAACCTCCACTGAAAATAAGGATCCACAATATGGTTCAGCTTCTGCTCAGCTAAACTGAGTACAGCACCCACTGCCTCCCCAGAGCTCCTTATCAGACTCTTGTTCCTGCTATAGTTTTGTGTTTGGTTTTCTGAGGAAGACCTACAAGATAAAGGTTGCAGCAGTTGCGGTAGAGTTGGTATACAGTTACTGCTTCAGATGAAAAGCAAACTCCATGCTATGGACAGGCCCCTGCTAAGCCTGAGGCCCAATCAGTCCTGTTGTCAGCATAGCAGTGTCTTAGGTTTACATGGGAAGCTTTAGGGGTGAAGCAGGTGGGGAAGGGGGATGCCAGGGTAGTTACCGTGAGAAGACACCAGAAGCTGCCACTACATGAGGGCCACTGACAGCCAGCTCCAAAAGGTACCTGCTGCTGGCCAGAGCTGAGACCTCTGTGAGAAGATACTTGATGAAGGGTAAAAAAGCACCATGCCCCAGCAGCCGGGGGAGATGAACAGGACTACGTGAGCAAAAGCCACCATGCAGGCACCAAGGTCAGTGCAGGAGGCGACAAGGTGTTCCCGGCACCAGAGCAGAGATTTTCCCCTGCAGCATGTGATGCAGACCATGGTAAGGCAGCTGTGCTCCTGCAGCCCACAGTGCAGATATTTACCTGCAGCGCAGGGAGGACCCCATACTAGAGCAAGGGGAACATGCAGCTCATGGACAACCCACAGAAAACCTGGCTCCTGGCAGGGCTTCTGGCCCGTGGAGAGGAGCCTACACTGGAGCAGGTTGCTGGCAGCATCTGTGGCCCACAGAGCACCCATACTGAAACAATTCATTCCCAAAGGACTGTATCCTACAGACCCCACACCGGAACATGGGGGAATAGCATAAGGAAGGTGCAGCAGAGGTGAAATGTTAAGAACTAACCAAAACCCCCATTCCCCTGCACTGCTCAGGGGTGGGAGAGTGGGAGACCCAGGAATGAAACAGCCTGGGAAGAAGGGAGAAACAGGGGAAGGTGGTTGTAGATCTGTCCTTATTTCTTACTGCAACTAAACAGACTAGGATAGCAAGTTAATTTCCCTAAGACAAGCCTGTTTTGCCTGTGACTGTAATTGCCAAGTGATCTCCCTGTTCTTACCTCAAGAGAGGGCTTGTCAGTTAAACAAGGTTAGCCCACCAGTCAGTCTCCCACTCCTCTCCAGGGGCCAGGGATCAGCACTAGAGTTCATCCAGCAAGGATTTCACCAGTATATTCCTCGAGCCAATGCTTTGAGTGGCTGAAAGCTGTACATCATAGAGCACAAGGGAGCTGCTGTTACCATAGTGTGTGGGCAATAGTAAAACTGGCTGGTTTGTTGGTTTTTTTTTTCCCTGCTAGATCCAGCCAGTTTTGACAAATGAAGAGTAAAGATTTAAACATTAAAATAATTAAATACTCTTACTGGAATCATTCAAGGGCAGAATCAAAGTCTAACTTCATTCAAGTTAAGGACAGAATGAAAAGCAGATGGTTAACTGGAGTTACACTACTGCTCCAAGAGATGTGGAAGAGATGTGCAGGTGGTTAACAGACTCCTTCCCCAAGTGCACGATGGCAGTTTCAGAACACGTGGATGAGTTGGTGCCACTGTTTCACTGCAGTCCAATCACACACAGTTCTCTTGTCCACTGTCTGTGACCGCTTGCCCATACCTTTCATGAGTTCACTCATTAAGCCTAGTTATTTGAGCCATGTGTTCCAATTGCTGTACTCAAGGAAGTACTTCTCTTCCTGTTGGCCAGCCCACTGTAAGAAAGTGAGCTAGGCAACAGGCCTGCAGACAAAGTCATCTTGCTGTACTGGTTTGACAGCAAGGCACAGGTCCCAGCCATTTCATAGCCAAATGTGACTGCAGTCACTGCCTCAGGGGAGAACTTCTTTTCTGAAGCCTTTACTCCAAGGAGAAACCTTTATATGTTTTCTTCTCTGCCATGTAGCTCAAGTTTCTTCCAAGCATTCAAGTCAGTTTGCCATCTACCACTTCCCTCTCAAAAGCATCTTTTCAGGTCACTGGATCAAAGCAGTTGGTTCTGTTCATGAAAGCAGCAGACCACAGAGTTCAATGAAACCATGACTGCTGCGCTGTCTGGCACATGGTAATACTTGCCTTACCCTTGACATGAAAAACAAGCAGAACACCACACCTGCTGAGCTCTCCAGGATGTTACTTAATACCCATGTGGCAGGGCAGATGGCCCAAGTTCTTAGCAAGGCTACTTGTACCCGTACCAGTTAGGGCAAAACTTTTATTTGCTGTATCTCGGCTTTAACAATGCCTGAAGCGCCAGGTTCTTGCCTGCTGGGATGCAGTGCTGCTCCCATCCTGAACAGGGCCTCTCTTCCCAGCTGGGCACTGTTGCCGTAGGGATGGAGCCCCCTCACAGCTCAGCTAGGTGCAACCATTAGGCTTTTCATATCATCACCCATCATGTCAAGAACCAAGAGTCAAATTCCGATGTATCTATGCATTTGAAGAGAATATGCTTGCTGGCTCCTGCAAAGGGAAAGCTGTCCCACGACACAGATCCTCACTGCACACACCTTCAAGAACCCATCCTTTTACATAAAGCTATGCAAGTTATTTTCATCACACTATGCCTACATGCCAGTGCTCAGAGCAGGAATATACTGCAGCACAGGAACCTAAAGACCTGCTGCATTTCCAAGAACTGCTTTGCACCCCTGGTTTCAGCACAAGTTATTCCAGTATTTTCCATCCATCTTTCCCAATTCTGTCTTGAATTTCCAGTAACTTGTCACCTGGATCTTTCAAGGTGACTGCAGTGGCATCTAATTAAGAGATTAACAAACAACACGAGCAGCATTTCCCATTAACTGCACTCTTCCCCTGAGGCAATAAGCAGCAGCAACCTCATGTGGCCTCACATCAGCAAACACCATGTGCTGCAGCACATCTCAGTAGCTTTCTCATTTCTTAAGGAACAAGCTGGCTATCAGCAGCTCCTACCAAGCTTCACCTGGACTTCCTAACAGGGATTGTCCAAGCTTTCCTTGCTCCCAGCTACTGCTCAGGACTAGGTAGGCCACACAGGAAGTGCTTTCAAGAGCAATTTGCTTGTTTCCAGATGGTACCATGTTATTGATACATTCTTGCTCCAGCTTCATTTTATTCTCTCTCCACCATCCCATCCACAGCACCACTTGGGCCAGCGATTTCTCACTTACCTGTGCAGTCTTTCACCTGTCAGTCTACACACTTCTGCTGCACTTCTCTTAGTCAAATAGCTGGAGCTGCACAGAAAACATTTTGCACGTCCTTCTCATTGCATAATGACAACCTAGAGCTTACATCCAAGCAGATCTTTGATGGCTCATCCTCAGCTAAAGGGTGTGGTCACCACTTGGACTAGAAAGATCTTGTTTCAAATAGGGAACATGTGCAGCAAGCTACTGAAGGGCCTCAGTGCTCAAGAGCTAGGAAATTCATGCATGCTTGTGAAATGAATGTAAGGCTGAGTCACACACAAACTCCCTACCAGAAAGAGGCTCACTCATGCCTACTTGCTGTATACATAGCAGAAGTCTTGCTTTTTCATCAGTGATACTCCATGAGCAGCACAGCTCACCTAGCTGTGTGGTTAGCAGCATTAGGCATAGCTGCTAACTACAGCCCTGCCCCCTTATTGACTGAATTCTTATCCAGGACAACACCCAAGCCAGCAAGAAAGCCATGCTGATCTGGTGGAAAAGCACACCAGTTCTCCTTGGTAACACTGGGAAGAGTAGTCGAATATATAGGGAGGCTGGCAGGTCTGCAATAATCCATGTAGACAACCTGACGCAGGTTTGAAGAGTCCAGTTTACTGTCCAGCACAAAGAAGCATTCACTGTGTTTTAAGAATGCAATACTGCAGTCAAATGAAAGTGACAAGATATAAATCCAACTTATCTTGGGGTTAAGACATTAGAAGTTTTACCTGTTCAGTCATTTGTTCCAGACTATTACATAGAAACAAAACAGTCCCACTCAGACTAAACACACTTTGCTACTCACACAACCAAAAGGTACAACAACAAGGAGGCAAAAAGGCAGGAGCTCCAAGTCCCACCTTACGCTTCCATGAGAGGGCTGGCATTATGGCATGATAAGCCAAGTCTTAGCTCTGAGTCTAAAATGAAGCTTGACAAATTTTAAAAGAATCTTTAGCTAAAAAGAGGCAATGAAAGAAGCTATCCCACCCAGTGACCACTCTCTTTTCTTCAAATCCTAAACTCCCCTTTCTTTGTCTTCAAGCTGGACTGTCACTCTTTGGATTACAGACTGGTAACTATCACCTGAGAAAGGTGCAGCACACTTCTCATAAAGCAACATCACTGCTGTCTCACACAACACAATTTTCCACCCCCAGCAATAAAAATCAATCAGGTTGTGTTTGACAAGTGTTTGTACTCAAGACAGTACTCCTTTTACACAGCAAAACCCAAGACCTTGATGACATAATGAAACTGCTTACATTTTCTTTTAAGGACAGGCAGTATCCAAAAGTGAAGAATTTACACTTTATTGTACTTATTCACATAGATCAAGAGGACAGTTTTCACCACTTAATCTAGCTAGCTTGCTTTATTTTTTTTAAGTAGAAAAGTTACAGGCTATAATTTAGCCGAAGCAGTCATGCTTCAAAGTCTCCATGGCTGGAGATCAGACTAGGCTTTTAATGGTCTCTTCCAGCTTCTCTTTATTGGCCCCAGAGAACTCTTGCACCTGTAAAAAGAGACTGAGTTTTAGAACTTTTGCATTCAATGCTTCATAATATTAGATGCATAGCATCCAGACACAAACACATCTACTGAACTCTGCTACAAGTGAAGTTTTTTCATTCCCAAAAGCCTTAACAAGAACCACTTCCAGACTGCTACTGCTGCAGCAGTAAATATGTTATCTACATGTAAAATCCTGTAGAAAAGTTGATCCTGAACCAATGCTATGTAAGACCCGAGTACAGGCTTGAAGAGACTGGAGGTCACTACACAGACGTAGCTCAAAGTTACCTTGGACTGCTCAGGACTCTTACCAATCAAATTCTGGAAGGATTACTCCAAATGACCTGGCCCTGAGCCTGGTTTATCCTGTGAAATTTGTGATTGTTGCAACTTACACAGAAAGACAAAGGCAACATTTACATCTCAACAGTGCTGTCTTCCAGTTCCTACTGGGGTGCAAGGTTCAGAGCAGACTGCACTAAAGGTCACAAAACTGCTTGCTTGGTACTTACATATTCAGAGAACTGCCAAGGTCACCCAAAATAAAAAGCCATACAGCAGGGTTACATACACCACCTACATCTTGGCACAGCATAAACACAATTCTCCTAATTGCATTAAGAAGCTGTGGAAGTTTACCCTGAGAAAACTGTCAAATGTTCATTATTGGTCATGACTTGACCCCACACTGAATTCAACTGAAGGTCCCTTTGCACCCGACACTCACTTTATAAGGTGCAATTCCATTGCCTTCAGCCATGAAACCTCAATCCAGGCAGTGCTTCACTTTAGCAAAGCCTACCTTCAGCTTGTTTGGCAAACAAAGTCTGAGACAATATACTTTGTCTGAACTAGAGAATTGCTGAGCTGAGAGGCATTCACAGCATAGGCAGCCTACTATGCTGTCAAAGCATGGTCTGAATCCCATGTCATCCACCTCTTGACAGAGCAGGTCCTCTGCCAGGGACAGGGCCTCCCTTTAACAGGTTACACTGCCACTACGTAAAAGCATCTGAACAGTCATTTCAGCTGTGTCTATATTCAGCTATGTTTAAGGCTCCTGCTTGGGTGGGATTCCACCACATACAGTCACATTCTCTGCTCAACTATAAGCTGCACCCCGAGAACAAATTTTTACCAAGATGGTAAAAAACAGGGTGCTAGGCAGGCAGACTAGCAGTCTTAACCCAGACATCTAACCCCACTAATGTCTCACGGTGCTCTGTAAGACTGGCCTGTAATACTAACTTAGTTCACTACCCATTAACAATAGGGTTTGCTTCATCAGTTAACTGCTGGTCCTGCTGCATTTGCTGCAGCACCAAGAGGAACTTGCTCACTCTGAGAGGCCACGCCAGTGATCCCCCAGAAGCATTATCAAGACAAAGCAGGCTAAGTGGTCCAATATTCCCAACCGTTTTTCAAACATTTAGATCACCTGCTCCAGCTGCTAAAAAGCAGAGCCTACCTTTTTCCCATTCTTGTAGAACTGGAATGTTGGCATGCACTTCACATCACAGTGTGCAGCAACGTCCTGGAAGAGACAGAATACAATCTTCAGCTGTACACACCTGAAGGATGATAAATTTAGACCCCACTAGCTGCCTTCTGTTTAGGTGACAGAGCAAAGCCATTACTGCTCAAAATTAAGCAAAAGCGCTTCTGGTGGTCCATAACTAGCAAAGAGTGCAGTGTTAACATCTCCCTGAAGTAAGGCTGAAGGACCCCCCTTCAGCATTTAATTCATGCTATAGCAGAAACACGTTTACTATACTTGCATCCTGTGTTTGGAAAAAAAGACCTCTTAATCAAAACAGATAGGACTATTTGTAAGGCTCAAGAGCATTACAGAAGCTCTTGTGTTTCAATCCAACATTCTTCAAGTACCAGTTTGACACTGCTGGAGCTGCTATACAGCAGTCATTTTTCTGCACTGAAGACATGAAAGAGGCAAGTGTCAAGAGCAGTGGAGAGACCAGAGAGATCCCCAGACAATTGCGAGCCATTAGTATCAGGGGAGACTGCATCAAAGCATCTTAAGGCCTTAGACTAACACTCCCTCCCAAAGTAGGGGGTCACTGTTCCCAAGTTACCCAACAGAACTTTAACTGTGAAGATAACCAAGACAGTTTGTTCTGTTCGGGTGTCCTCTAACAAAAAAAAAGATTGCCATTTTCAGTGTAAGTGCTAAACCCCTAATCTCTGCTTCACTAGGTTGAGGTAATCTCATTTTTTCATCTCAGTATTTGCAATGACATTTTTAAATAAGACATCTTCGTTGTCACTTGTGTGGAACTCATTAGCTAATCCCCGCCCCCGCCATCACCCCAGACCATACCTGGGCATCATCCACATCAATTTCAATGAACACCACATCACCATACTTCTCACACAAACTCTAGAACAAAATAAGAAACTATGCAGTTACAATGTTCCAGGAAAGCTTTTTCTAAGAGACATCCATATTAATTGTAAGGCTGGTGCTAGCACCATTGCCACCTAAGCACAAGGGGAAGGATTGTGATAACTGTGTACAGAAGCATAAACACTGTTTCACTCTGTACCTCACCTCTTGAGGCAATGTAACTGTTAGGCCCCTATAGACCCAAGATACATGCAAGCATTATCACAGCAGAACTTATACCATGTCTCAGCTCCCAGCTGTATAAAAGGGTGGTATATTTAAGTTGATAGTCTCAAAGGAGATAGTTCTGTAACTTATCCCTCTTCCAGAAAAGGCTGGAAATCACATGTAGCAAAAGGAAGTTTCTCCCACATTATTGTTAAGCAGCGTAAAAACATTCTGTATACTTTAATACAGTTGCCAATAAAAACAAAAAGGCCACTTACATGGAAAAAGGGCTTGATCATTTTGCATGGTCCACACCATGTGGCAGAGAAGTCAACGACTATCAGCTTCCCACCAGCAGACTGCAATTCTGCCTCAAATTCGGACTGTAAAAGAACAAAAGAATTGAAAACATTAATGATTTCCCCCTTCCTTTCTGAAATGACTTAGACTAATCCCAAAACTAGCTTGCTATCAGCCTTAACACACTAACCATTCTGGTAGCTCTTTAAACACATCATGTAAGTGCTTCAGTATGAATTGTCTTCACTGCTGCTAGCATCAGCCAGTGTCTTATGACTCTTCAATTAGACAGAGACCATAATGCTCAGTCACCCCAACTCACTGAACTGTGGAAACAAAGGCTAGATACTCATCTAGACTACAATCCTCAACTCTGGAAGCTCTGTTTAGGGTTACCCTTGAATGTGATCCTTATGGTTTTTAATAAGTTTCTCATTTCTGTCTTGGCAGGAAGGCTTCCATCTTCTTTGGGGACAGACTTCCCACTGCAGAATTTTAAAAGAACAATCCTTTTTCCACACTCTTCCAGTTTGATGCCTTTTCCAATCAATGGTAACATCAAAATGATGTTGTGTGATTTACTCTACAGCTTGTTTTCTAAAGCTACCTCAGATTTTTTTTTTTTTATTTGTCCAAGTGAACTCATGTGTAACATCACTAGCCAAAGAAAAGATACATATACAGACCACTCAACACCCAAGAATTATTTAGAGCTTTGAGTCTGTTTGTTGCACTTAGTGACACCAACCATTTCTGGACAACATTCTTTGGTATTTAGAGGTCCTTCTGTGCCATTGGCCGTGTTTTCTGGTCAGAAAGTGAATGCTTTAGAGAACTGAAAGCCATTAAAAGCAATAAATACTTGCATGCTAGCAGTAGGGAAACAAGTATCTCAGGCAGAAGCAGAAAATGCTAATCAGCTGCTTTCTGACAGTGTCTTTTCCAAAGCCAGTGCAAGTCACTTCAACATTCCACAATTTTGTTCTCACAGCAATGCAAGCTTCAGGAGAGCTGTTAACATAAACTTCATTTCAGATCACGCATATAAAAGATAGCTGCTTTAACCCTCCCCAACTTGACAAATCAGAGCATTAAAGCTCCGTCAGCAACAGCTACCCAACAGCAGTACAGTTGCTGCCACATGTACTCAGTGGTTGGTTCTGCAGTGCAGGAGTTAAATAATTAATGCCAGCTTCTGCAATCAGCCACAGTAAATTGATACTTTATTCTAGTAAGCTGTTCCCCACACCCTCCCCCCTTAAAGAATGACATGTAGGTGAGTAGCCAAGAATGTACATAGTCAAACTGGTCACAAGCATATTTAACAAGCAAGCAGAAGGTCCTGCACCAGCATTCTTATGGATGAATAACCTACATAACAGTCTTCATAACTTCCTGAAACTTCAAATACACCTGGCATTACATGCCTGTTAATAAGGCATTTTCCCTCCCAATGTAGCTATCTTCAGAAGTTCAGCCTCCACATTTGAGTTCTTCCATCCTTGTGTATTGGATATTCAGTCTACTCTGCTGTAACATCAGTAGCTAACGCTCCACCAACTCTGTCTGAAAGAGATGGGAACAGTAAACCTTCCTATCCCTCCACACTGCCCCACTCCTGTATTGACATGGTACGCATTCCTACACCCCAGCCCCAGAAGTGCCCCATTCCCACCAACAGTGCTCTCTCTACACAGCAATCCCTGCCAGCTCCCTGAGACTACTAATCAGAAGTTTCTCAACTCAAGTCTCATTCCTCCCCACCTTCAAATCCTACAGCTTGATTTTGGTATAGCTTCTCATACCTCTGCACTGCAACATTACCAGCTCTTTACTGTTTCTACTTCCTGCACCTGCCAGTTAGACCATCCTCTTCCTACCCTGAAGTCCTCCCATCTGGCTTCATAATTAGTGTATTCTGCAAAAGGAAGTCCAGCCCTGGGATGTGTTTTGTCATGTGGCCACACACCTCAGGTTTGCTGTTGCACCGAGCAAGGGGAAGGTAGGAGGTCATGATTGGTTGGTCACATGCCACACGCCACTGGAGACCTGATGCTGACTACAATTAGGTGCTAGTTACCTTGTCAGTCACCTTTAGTACTGGCTAAAACGGCTGTGGGAGAATGAAGAGATGCAGGTTCAAAGGTGCTTACTCTTTGCAAATTAAAAGTTATTTAACTAGGGAGAAGTCCTGAAAGTTTTCCCAGAGAATCTAATCTCCCTAAAGGAAAACAGTAGTGGGGGCAAATCAAGCTACTTCACCCATGGGATTGGCCTCCATACCTGTCTTTTATAGTCATCTTTGTTAACTTAAGGGGAACCCCCATAACAAGACCATCTCATCACACCATTAGATGATCTTACAGCTTCAATAACCAATACTTTCTTCAGATAACACCTTAATGGGGAAGCCTCTGAACAATTTTCATTTTGTCGTTTTTGGTCTGTTTTAAACATATAACTACAACCCCCTGAGCCCATGTAAGACCTCATATTGCTTGTATTGTCCTCCAGCAGAAAAGCACATGCTGCATTCAACAAATACGTTAGCATCAGGCCTCTATTTCCAAGGGCCAAGTAAGAGAAAAGGCTCTAGTAATGACAGTGTCCAGTGCAGCAGGGATTCCCAGCACCAGGTAATACCTCAAAATGAAGACTACTGACCACAGATGGTGCTGAAAGGAATGTCTGGTTCTCAGCAGTAGACAAGATAGCTTTAATCAATCTGCTAGGTGGTGTGCACCTTAGTTGTAAGTGTGATTTCCTACACATAACAAGGCACCTTTGAACTTGGATTAACCCAGCCATCAGCTGACTGCCAATGGTTACTACATAACTTAGTGGTGTTTTGGGTTTTTTTTTTTAAACACAAAAGCTGCCATAAACAGATTGAAGGTTCAACTGCCCAAACTCCTTAGAAGACAGCCTTTCTTCTGCACCTGAAGCTGCTAGTTTTCAGTATTTGCTTTAACTCAATTAATAAAGTCAGCTTGCATAAAGAAGAAAGCTCTGGCAACACCAGCTTTTTAACAGTTTAAATATCCCACTAGCTTCTGCTATAAAAGGCATTATGTCCCACAGTGAGACCCTGTTACATGAGTCACCCATCTCAAGATCACATAACTGAACCAACTGGAGTACTGCTCCTTCTGTCCACCAGCAGGGACTTGAAAGGGACCAGTAAAGCACCCTTAAAGAAGCTATTCATCAGAAGCTAGCTAGTTTCTGAAGAGATGATAGGAAAGGGGCCATATCTAGATAGCTGTCACATCCACATTACTTTACAAATGTTACTTACAATAGATACTTTCACAGGTAGTTGAAGAAGGATTTTTCTATTTTGTTACAAGAGAAGAATACAAACCTGCTTTCCTGAAAAACAGAAGTAATCCAGAAATCCCAGATGCACTCTCCTTAAATATTCTGGGTGTTGCTAAACCTTGTTGTCAGCATGTCTGTTGAGTCCATGGTCTCCATGGATAAGGAACAAAACCATGCTTTAAGCATGACAGACTATTAATCAATGCTCATGGCTGGGAGGGGAGCAGAAGCCTAGTCCACTTAATGTTACAGCAGGCTCTTCTGCCAAAGCCAAGTTTAACGACTCTCCATTTTTAAGCTGTTCCAACCTGTAACAAAATCCTCAAGCCTTACCCATAAACAGGGAAGGGGGAAAAATACAAGCCAGGAGAATTATTTCAGGTTGGACTCACACCTTATTCTATCTCCAGGTCCTGAGTAATGAGGTACCTTGTTTGCCTCAGCTTCAAGGAGGTTTCTGCCTGCACAGGTACTTAAGCTGTGATCACAAGTATTAGCATGCTCATGGGTCAGATAGCTGTCCGGTCCCTGCACACTGGCAGTATGCAAGCAAGGACTTCTAAATTCGGGTACTACAGTATCCTGTTACCAGCTCGAGACATTTCCTTGATTTTAAAGGGAGATGAACAACAATCTCTCATAATACGAAATTACAGCAGCTCCCGCCTCATTCGGACCCTGTGAAGCCTCAAGTCTAAGCGAGTCCTCCTTGTCCTCCTTTCACTGTCTCCCTCCCCCACGCTGCAGCGCCGAAGGAGGCTCCTCCTGGACGGGCAGCCGCGGCACCCAGACTATGTCCGCAGCGCACACCCGGTCCCGCCCGACCGCCAGCCACCCAGCCTTCACAGGGCAAGGCTTCATCGAAGCCCACGGCAGCCACCTGCTCGCCCAGCTTCCCTCGGCGGCCGTCGGCGCCAGCAGGCCCACCCACTGCCTCCCTTCCCGCCGGGGAGGAGATGGTCATCTCGCAGCTCTCCCCATCCCCTTCACGGCGAGGGGTCGGCGGCCACCGCGCTCAAGGCGGGGAAGCGGCACTGCCGCCGGCGGAGAAGCAGGAGGCCGCGGGCCGCCCCTTGCGCGGCATGGCGGGAGAGTGGAACCAACGGCCGCCGCGCCTAGCGGACTCACCAGGCTGCCCACACTCTTCACCATGGCGGGGGCTCGGCGTCGAGGAGGAGGGTCGGCGGATAAATAATAAGAAGGCACCCGAGAGCTTCGTCCCTGCGCTGGTGCTGCTCCGCTCGCCCCGGCCTCCGATCCGGCCTCCACCTACAGCTGCCTCAGCAATATCCCGCCAGCACTCGGGCGGCACCCCCTTTTATGCCCGCCGCCGCACCGCCCTGCGCATGCGCGGGAGCCTCCTCTCTGCCTCCTCTCACCGCTGCTTTTCCCCTCGCTTACTCCGCCCCATGGAGCGGGGCTCGGAGCCTCGAGGGTGTGGGTGACGTCATGGCGCAGAGTGCGCGCTCGCTGGGGCCCGAGGCAGCAGCGTCGTGTCGTGTCGTGTCGTGTCGTGTCGTGTCGCGTCGTGTAGTGCCCTGTTCTGTCGTGCCCTGTCAGGCCGGACCGGACCGGACCGGGTCGGGTCGGGTCGGGCGGCATCGGGGCTCTGGCGGCAGCCGCGGTGGTCCGAACCCCGCCCGCCCGGGGCGGTTACGTGGCAGGGGAGGGCGAGCTGTGCATCCCTGCTGGCCGCCAGGGGGAGTGACGGCAGGGGAGGGTGAAGGAAAAGCGCGGGGACCGCCGAAAAAGTGCTGTGTAACGATGATCAGGAAGTATTTCGGAGGCGGCGGCACTCGCCCCGCTCGCACACGTCCCTCCTCCTCCTCTCACTCCTCTTTGCCGGTTCTCGGACACGGCGCCCTATTCGCATTACGGGAAGGAGGAGGGTTATGGCGGGGGTAGGGCGGCTGCTGTGGTGCTGGAAAGCAGGAAAGGAGCAGATCGGGGGAAGATACTTCCTTACTCTTTTTAAACCTTTTGTCTTCTGTTTTTTTTTTTATCCCAGCACCGAAGCACAGAGCTGTGCTTGTCCTCTGGGTTGCAGGCTTTCTGCATCACTGATATGAGTGGTGCTTGCCTAGTGGTAAACACTAAAATCGGTACAGATGACTAGAGACACTGCGAGCTTCTTTAGTAGTTCAAAGAATCATAAAATGGATCAGATTGGAAGGGACCTTCAACATCATCTGGTTCCAACCCCCATGCCCATGACAGAGCGAGGTCACTTTCCACTAGACTAGGTTGCTCAAAGTCCTGTCCAGCCTGGCCTTGAACACTGCCAGGGATGAGGCCCCTCTTGGAGAGGGTCAGCCAGGACCAGAAATCATCCTTGCAAAAATTACGCCTTTCAGCTTTCCCAGCCAAGAGGACTCTCTCATGAAAACTTAAATTTCCATTTGTTTCTCTGTGTTTTGGAGAGGTCCTTTGTTCTACTGCACTACTGCCCATCCCAGAGTTCAAGACCGCAAAACAGGGCTTGTTGCAGCCCTCCTTCTATTGGGCTGGCAGGATTTAATTTTTGGAGTATTGGGTTACTGACTCCAGCTCCTGCTGTAGGGGTCACAGGAGAGGTTGTATTAAGTTTTGGGATGCTTGATGCTGGCTGTGTGACGAATGGAATATTTCTGCAGGCTTAAGCAGCTAGGTTACCAGCCTGTGGAATGTTTGCTCTGACTGCAGCTGGGCAGAAGATGGGAAGTCTTAGTGGAGGTCCTGGATAAAAAGGTGCTTCTTCATTACTGTTTGGGTACCAACACATCCCAAGAGCATGTGCCCCAGTATGTTGCTTTGCTTTGTGGTAGACACTGAAAAACTGGTAACACCCTCACAGCCTGAAAGCTTGCCCCATGAGATTTGTCTTGGAGATCTCTTGAGTTTGGAAAATCGTACTGAGACTAAGTCAGGTTTTATTTTGTAAGTTTATTCAGTATGTGGCTTACTCCAGCAGCAGAACCACCACAACCACTAGGGTCCCTTTTCTGACCCAATGGTGCCATCCACTTCATTCTTCTCCCTGCTTGTCGCTTCCTACCTAGCCCTTTCCAGACCTAGTTTTGCCTACTTGAAGCCCTTCGGGTACTGCTCTCCATGCTCCTTTCCCTGTGCTTCCCATTCCCTTTTTCCTTTGGTGGCAACATCAGAAGAGTTAGGATGATTGTGGGTGAGCAGTGCTAGCAGGGCTTGGTAGCACCTGCTGGCTTTTGCCTTTTCTTCCGGCTGGCCCCGGCTGCTCATGTGTCCATGTGCCCTTGGCTGAGAGAAGCTGGTGCATATGCCCTGTGCTGCTTTAGGGAGATGCAGCTGCTGCAGGTGGCTCAGGAGAGAGAAAGCAGGAAAGCCTTATCAGCCGGGGTGCCTTGCTTTGAAACCTGCTGCCAGGCAAGATAAAATGACAGAGAAACCCAGACTACCTTCAAAACCCAGTTACTGAATGCCCCAGCTCAGCTCAGAATCACACTGCTCTTGCAGAAGTTAGTGCAAGGAGTTAAGAAGGAAATGATCCACCGAGATAATACATTCCTTAGTGCTGCTTTCTATAAGCGAGTATGGATGGATAGCCCCTTTGTGAGCTATGAGGGAAGATTCCTACATGCCTCTGTCCTCAGATCCCATCTGCTGCCATTTGCCTCTTGGTGTGCTTATAGTCAAGTACAGGCTTATGCATACAGCTGTTTGAAGTCCAGAATGTTGCTGTGGGATTGTTGTGTGAATGCCTAAAATAACTGGACAATAATATAATTTATGTGATCTGCACTCAGGTACAGAGGAATGTGGGTCCTCTGGCTGGGGAAAAAAAAAAACAACACACGCCCTAAAAACACACCCTGTTTTCTTATTATTTTGGCATTTCTTTTTCTTTTTTTTTCTTCTTTTTAAACTATGTGGTGTCTCATTGTTTATCTCAACAGCACTGTCGCCGTCCCACACCCGCAGTCACCCGACTATGGGAGCCTTTGCTTCTCATGTGCCCTCACTCCCACCCACCTTCCTCGCAGGCATAAATGCAACATACTTCCCTCCCCGAGCTGCCAGAGAGGGAATGTGGCTGTGAAAAATACGCAAGTCAGTTGTGGGGAAGTTGGAAATCCAATGAATTTTGTGCTTCAGCAGATTGCTGTATGCCGTGTCATACCCAGGGTCACTCGATAGGACAGTGAACCAGTAGATGGCTCTTGGCAAATTCAGGACGGAACCAGGAAGCACTTTTAAAGACATGTCTCTGCCCTTCAGGAACATGTTTTTGCTTGGTCTTTAAAGTGAGAGAATGTGGCTCAAGAAAGGACAGAGCAGAGATGCAGTGAAAGCTTCAAAGATCAAGCCTTAGCAGTTTTTCATACAGAAACTCTGGAGATATTGATGAATACTCATGCCACCCATGCACTATAAGAATGAATTGCTAGAGTCCTTTGATTTGTGGAAAGACTGGGAGAGAAAGTTGGCAGGTCTAAATTTAGGTGCCCTCAAGTGAATTAATCAGCACCACTTAAAGACACAGACCTGTAGAAAGTGCTGTATTTTTAAGAGCCCATTCATGCCATGAACCTCACAAACATTCAGGTAGGGATTCAATGAAAATTTGACCTCTTTTAATCATCTTTAAAGCTCCAGTGGCAGAAGGCATCTGTTTTTTTAAACTCTGCTTAGACTAATTTGTGTCATCTGTTAGGTGAGAGCAACACGGACCAGCAATGGGAAAGGGGTTCTCCTGGAGCCAGTGGTGGACCTCAGTGTGCTCAGGGTCAGGCCTGTGGGACGTTTGGGAGTCTGAACAAACTGTGGTTTTCAGCTCTTTCTGAGGTGCTGGGAGAGGTGGGAAGCAGAGTGGGGAAGGTGGGCAGCAGTGATCTCTAGCAGGACAGCCAGTTAGGTAGGGCTTAAATTGTGGCATCCATCTGGATGAATGAGGCAGAGCTGTGGCCCATGGTCCCAGTGTGATGGTCCTGCACCCCCATGTTTGACTTTGCCAGCAGCTGTGTTTCCCTGTCAGCAATTGAGGGCAGGCAAGTCTGCTGGGCTCTGAAGATACGGATCTTCTTCCTTGGGCTGACTTTTGTCTTTTCTGCCTTGTGACCCAGTGCGTGTTGGTGGCTGGAGGGAATACCATGGAGTGGTGAGACACAAGGTGGGCTGGGGGTCAGCATTCAAACATCCCAAAGGCTCTATTGCAAAGTGTTCACTAGTAGATAGTTCATTAATAGATCTTTCAGGCTTTGGGCTCTGGTATACAGTAGTCATCCATGTCATCCATTTCCTCGTCAGCATGTGTGAGAGTGAGGAAAATGAGGGGAAGGAGAAGAGGAAGATGAAAGGAAAAGAGAGCAGGGACCCAGACCCAGCAGCTTTTGCTATCTTCTCACAAGTTAACCCCTTCAGGGTCTCATGAGCATATCTAAGACAAACTTGTGTCTCCCCAAAACATTATTAAGTCACCCGATCACTCAAATGTGTGATGCAGTAAAAGGGACAGCTACAGGGAAAGTATTACTACCGTTGTGGCACCACTGGTCAGTCATGTCCAGCATTAAGCAATGCTGCAGGCAGTTGCAGAAATAAAGAATCTGCTAGAGGCAACAACTGCATCAATTTTTGTCATAGAAAGGCCAGGTTATTTGCCAGTGCCTTAAAATGGAAATAAGATTTGCACTTGACCTTGACACTGCAACCAAGCAGCAGCCTTTAATTAACTTTCCCTTTCCTTCCAGCCTGCTCTTCTGGTAGATTTTGCTTTTGTAACTGACCTATTAAAGGTGCAATAAGCATTTAATAATTAGATAGGTGTGCTTGGTGTCATGCCAGCATAAGTCGCGGAACAAGCAGGCTTCTCTCTCTGAAGATGGTGTACTACTGCTGTAGTTACCCAGTTTCTTTTGAATACTTGGTGTAGAACATCTTGTTAAAGGATGAGAGGAGGAGCTGAATAAAAAGACAGAGAACAAGGATCTTGGCCACAGTTCATTTCCCTTTACCAAGGGGAGTTACTGATTAACCAAGAATTTCCTGGTCTCCTTAACCAAGAAAAAAATGCATGTTAATACTGTCCCACTCATTATCATTCCATTTTTATTAAGTTCTTTGGAGAAAGGAATCTCAAGACTCTCCAGAGGTGATGAAGCTGGTACTTTTGGCCCCTGTATTAGAAGAAACCTGATCATTGCTTTTTAAAGAAACCTTCTGTGAGCTCCCCTGGGTTTATGGCATGCTCTGTGTCTCTAGAAAGGAAGATGCCACTGGCACAATGTTTACAAACATGGGAATGCTCATCCATGCTTTCAGGTATCAAGGCACTTCAGGTCTTGACTAGAGAGGCTTACACTTGTAATTGCCCTAAATATCTCAAACCCAGCCTGAGATGTTCAGGAG